CAATTTAGGCATCCCATATGCTAGCAACAACTATGGTGAAAGTGTGTGAAATCATCATAATCAAGTAAACACCAAACAGCAGATAAAGATGACTAGTCAACTACAAAGAACAGAAACACATAATTCATATTATGGCTAGTCAACCACCAAGAACACAAACCCAGAAAAATTTCAGCGATGCAAATCAGAAATTGTTCACCCAGAAACCCACCATTGGGAAAAACTGGGCGTCATCAACCGACCAGGCAATCCACTAAGTAGAAAAAGATTCTTACAAATGAACACAAGCAAGCTCAAGAAAAACCTAGATCTATTTAGGAAGATGAGCTATACCTCCTTTGTGCAATCTTCTTCTTTAACTTAGCAAAGCTTGAATCTCAGTTCTTCATGGCAATGACAGCTTCCTTCTCCAGCTCTTTCAGCTCTAGCTTGCAAGCTCTAACTCAGATAGAGACTAAAATTTGGATTCAAAGGAGAATAACCAATTTCTTCACGAAACCATACTCTTGAAGAAATTAGTCTTGAATCTGACCTAGATATAAATGAGAGAGTGTTTTAAATAGCTAGATGCAAATTCGTATTTCAAATGCAGTTTTTCAAAAAGAAATTAATTTGGAAAAACTCATAGATGAAATCTGTGGTTCTCTCTTAAGGAAGAAGAAGAGAAAGATAGCAAGCCAAACTTTCCAAAACTTCCACATAAAAGAGACGGCTGCGAAAAGAGGAATTCCTGAGCCTTTACAGACAAAAATTCCCTTAGGTCAGAATGACACATGGCAGTAGAGAGAGAAAGGAGAATAGGACAAAAAGTTGGTTATCCAGCTGGAAATCCTACATTGCAGGGATGACTAGTCATACGAGAAACAAATGACTAGTCATCATTTTATGAAAACAGTTTAACGCAATGTTATGCAATGCACAATTTACCTTTGTCAATTTGCTTGAACCTCCATAGGATAGATGTTAGTTAAGAACACCTAGAGAAGCTATTCTTAATCTAAGAGCTTGATAAAAAAAATAATAAAAATCCTATTACAAAGTTATCAGGGGAAGCCAAAAGAAAAACTCAAAAAAGCATACATTAACAACGCGGAGTCCTATAATGTTAATTTTTGACCAAAAAGAATATGTTGAATTGTGAAATAAATGTATTTTAATATGTGCACCTTACTCACCATATTCAACCCTAATCAAACGTCAACAAAAAAATCCTAGATCCAAAAACCTTAGTATTAACTCCAATTATTTGTTTCATCTTTATTTAATAATCCATTGATGCATCAACAAATCTCATGATACTTTCGTCAATCATAATTTACTTTTAGGTGTAATAGGTACCAGTGGAACTACAATGACGTGGGCGATGGCAGAGCTAGCTAGGGAAACGAAACTGATGAAGAAAGCCCAAGAAGAAGTTAGAAGATGCATTGGAAAGAAAGGAAAAATCAGTGAACGAGATACAGATGAGATTCAATACATCAAGATGATAATCAAAGAGACCAGATTGCATCCTCCAGCTCCAATGATTATTTCAAGAGAAATCATGTCTCATTTCAAAATCCAAGGTTATGATTTGGCCCCAAAACACTTGTCTTTGTCAATGGCTGGGCAACTTTGTCCTGGGATGTACATGGTAATAACAACACTAAAGCTTGGACTAGCAAATCTTCTCTACTGGTTTGATTGGAAATTGCCTAATGGGATGAAGGAGGAAGATATCGATATGGAAGAAAATAGGGTGTACCATGTGTATTTTTGGTAGTTAAATAAGGTGTATTTAATTTTACATTTTGATCTAAATATTAAGGTATACTTATATCATAGGCTATACTCAGTTAATTTTAGTACAAACATTTTTTTCTTTCTTTTATTGTGTTCCTCATCATAAATATTAAGATACAAGGAGAAATAGTGTTTGACTTGCTTGGACACGATGCCAAGCAATATGTGTTATTATCCCATGGCCCATCTTCACCATCATGACACTAATCCACATTACTCTTACATGAACATATATAATACCTTTATAGTCACGTTTTATCGTTCCCCATTCTCCTTACCTTTTTTTCAAATCAGCTGCCCAGGATCAAAACTGCAGCGAGGTGTGCGACGGTGGCCCGGTGGATTCGCTTAAGCGTTTTCCCCCTTTTTTGTTTCTGAACTTGGCTCTGTTGCCAAGAAGAATATTATTTGGTTATATTGTTGTGTGTTATTCATCTCACAATGAGGAATATATATACATGTGTACGGTTACAATCCTAATCCGACTATTCCAGGGAGTAATTACAGTATTATACTAGGAAACATAATATTACAAGAAATTACTTGAAATACAATACAAAAGTCAACAATAAACATAGCATGAATAAGAGAAAATCATTTATCTTGATGGGTATAATGTCATCTTCCAAACTCATATTGAAAAATGCTTTATTTTAAATTTTTGGTTGCACTATGAATTTGAACCACACATGTAACAATAAATTTGTTCAAATGGCCCATCTTCACAACCCTTAAACATAATATGCATCGAGCAAGGGGCCACTAGTGTAGTTTGGAGCAATTGCTCCTCTAGTAAACGTTGTCGACCCTCTCAATATGAAAGTTTCTAAAGAAAAAACATAAGATGCTTATGCTCGTAGAAGTGTATAACATATCTTATTAATAGCTTCTCTCTTGGTCAGAATTCATGTTCTCTTTTTCCTTCCCGATTCTTTTAGCTGATTTTACTACTGCTAGTTGTCAATATCTATCTTCATGTATTTTACTTTTGTAATAATTATACATTCTTTGTAAGAAGTTCATTATAAATATATAAAGAATATTTACAGTATAATATTTTGTTTTGAATTCAACATAATGATCCAAATATTCATTTTCTAATTTTCATTGCTAGGATTGGCATTATATATGTAGCATGCTTAAACATTTTAAAAACTTTGTTGTTGACATAGACTATAGTATGCCACTTACTTTGATTCTTGGAGCTACTCATTTTCATAGGTTCCATCTTTGTTATAGATGATACTTTGGGTTGTCTCCGGTTGATTTTCCTAGAAATATTTTTCTCAATATGGTATTGCAAACATGGGTTAGGTGCCCCTTTGCATTCAAGTTCGAATTCCCCTAGAATAGATTAATAATTTAGACTATTACTAGTATTTAGAAATAATTTTTTTTTATATATATAAAAAGTAAGACTAGTGTTACTTAACATGAAAATAACAAGTTAGGTTTTATTTTATGAGGACCGATTTGGTAGTGCTTCTACATAGATAACTTATTTACATACGCTCTTTTATTAGAAGATCATCGAAATTTTAGCTAAAAATCCAAGTGCTTCCTGAAAATGCGCCTACCAGATGCTTCTTTATAAAATTATTTTATGATCCATTTGCGCTTTTAAATTGTTCTACCAAACACAGTTATAAGTGTTTCTGGTTGTTAGAAAGCGCTTTTAGCCCTCTCAGAAGTACTCCCATACAAACCCTACTTGTAACTCTAGAGTACTTGGTCAATTTTTTTTAGTCAAAGTTTTGGATGGGAGATGCGAGGTGTCAAGGGCGGATCTATGTATGAGCTAGACTAGGCTCCAGCCTAGTGCTAAATTTGGAGATGAAAAAATTAGTGTTAATTTGTAAGTCAAACCCAAGTTAATTAAAAATAGTTCACCCCTCTTTGTTGACATTAGCCTATCCCAACGATAAGATTTCATCTCTAGAGGCACCCACTCACATCGAACATCATGTTTTTCTATTACCTATCCATGTAAGCTATAACTTTATATTTGAACTTGAGAGCTTAGAAGTAGTAGGTCGCCTCCTCTTTAAAATTGTATTAACTTATATGCTCTGGTTTCTTTAATATTAGTAAGATTCTATCTTACTTTTTGTTTAGTTTCCATTTTCAATTGTTATTGTTAGTTTTTTTATGGTTTGGGTGTTAAATTTTGGATTTTATTGATGATTCGTCCTTTTTCTAGTTTAATCTATTCACTTGATCTCTGCTTCTATATAGTCTAGTTGACTCTTGGTTTTGTTGAATGGTTGGCTTGTGATTGTGCAATTGTAGATCTATACGACTGCACTCCATACTTCTATTTGTACTCCCATAAAATTTAAAAATTGTTAATTGAAGAATAGTTGCAACCACTCATTTCCTTTGCATATAAAAAAAATGAAAACCTATAGCCTAGTGCCAATTAACCATGTAAACCTGTTTTTAAGAAGAAAAAAAAATTAATATAATGGATTCTCCATAGAAAACAATTTAGCCCACCATTATAAAATTTACTAGGTCCGCCCCTCATTAGGGTTCGAATATGAGACTACTAACATGCAAGCAAATACTCTTACCATTAAGCTATAAACCCGTTAGCGCATATTTGGTTATTGGTTACCTGAAAAAGTTAGGGTATAAATGCATTCCATAATTGACTAGTGTCATTAGTGCAACAAATCACTACCGCCATCACCACCATTTTCATGGTTACTACGTACCACCAGTTATCGTTTTTGTGGTTCTACGTACTATTAAAATAGCACATGAAAACTATCGAATTATGTATAACCATTGTTAACAACATTTCTATTCTAGCTATAGTTTATCAGTTCCACTCCAAACATTTCTAAACACAAATTTTCGGAAATTGAGGGGATTTTAATTTGTTCATAAATGAACCAGATTATAAGTACAAAGATAAAGATGGAGATACGAGAATGGAGTCATAGTTCAAATATTTTTACCGGCCAAAGACATCCCATAGTATTTTCCACAGACTAAAAAGAGTAAAAAGCCCATGGTATTTTCAAAACCACCCTCCTAGACACGAAACAGCCCATGGTTTCATTTCATCTATAAAAATAACCTAAAGAGCAGTCAGGTGGTATGTGTCAACAAAAAAACCCTTCCGCCGTCTCTAGTTCTAATTCATATTTTCTTAGGTTTTGGGGTTCCTCTGAGAGAGAGAGAGAGAGAGAGAGAGAGAGAGAGAGAGATAAATGGTGAAGGCATCTGAGTTCTCTGAAGGCCAAGACGAAGAGAAAGATGATGCTAGAACTGGAGAGTCTGATCCAGGCTTCAAAATCGCATCGATGATTTACCAGAGGTAGAATTCCATTTTTAAATAACCTTGTGCTGTTAGGGTGTCATACTCATGATTGTTTAGATCCAGATCTGGAAAATTGGGAGCACCTTTTGATAAATATGTTCCAATTTCACCCGTTTATTATTAAACTTTTCTAGATTTAGTTTTCTTTTTCTAGAATCTGAAGTCTCTTTTTACAAATCATCCTATGCCGTAAAAACATCCACTAAATTTAAAGGAAATTTATTCGTTATTTTAACCAGAACTGATTTGGTGATTTAATCGATGTTATTTGATTTGCAGATCTAAAAGTCCTATTAGAATTTTAACATGTTTCAAAACCCTATAGTCTGAGTATATTTGCTCATGGTTTTGATATTTAATCCTCTGGTTTTGATAACCCTTTGGTTTTGATGTACCAGAATTATATATGTATCCAATGCTAAACAAATTGGAAGCTAACAATGGTAATGTGACCATGAAGCCTCTAAACATTTCCAAATCTTCATTCTGCTCACTTAACAGAAACCCTGCTGATTTTAACATGCCGGAAGTAGGAAACGGGTACATGATTAGAGGTGAAGACCTAAAATTTGGGAAGCGGATTCCTTTTTCAAGGAGGCATGTCGTAGTTAAAGTGGATCAGCACAAGTGGCAGAGAAATATGAAAGCCCTCTACCAAAAAGGAAACGTATACCGCGTTGAATTTGAGGAGGTTCTCACTTGCTCATGATATCTACGCTTATTAGTATTTCCTTTTCCTTGTTTAAATGAGTTTATGAATTCTATTGTATTCTGCAGGGAAATTTTTTCCAAGAAAATGCACGTGAAGTGGATGAAGAGTCAAATGAAATGATTCTTAGAACAAGGTTAGCATCCTTTTCGTTGAAATTTTTATGGTGTGTGTTTCTACTCTTTGGGGACATTGATTAATGGTGGTGTATAGACTTTCAAAATGTTAATTTTTCTATTTTATTGTGTTCTTGATCAGAAATGTTGAGACACAAGGAGAAATAGTGCTCAACTTGCGTGCAAAATTTTTCCAAGAAAAGACAAGTGAAGTAGATAAATGAAATGATTCTTCGAACGAGGTTAGCATCCTTTTCGTTGAAGTTTTGTGTTGTGTGTTTCTACTCTTTGTGGACATTGATTAATGATGGTGTATAGAGTTCCACAATGTTAATTAATTTTTTCTTTTATTGTGTTCCTCATTAGAAATGTTGAGACACAAGGAGAAATAGTGCTTGACTATTGCATGGACAATTTTTTTTTCCAAGAAAAGGCACGTGAAGCATATAAGGATTCGAATGAAATGACTCTTAAGACGAGGTGAGTCACGGAGTCCCACAATGTTAATTTTAGGGTCGTGTTAAATGAACTTTAAAATTAAATGAGTACACCCTACCACACCATCAAACTATTTATTGAATTACAATTTTACCTATATATAAAATGACCAAAAAATATATATGGATTTGTGAAACAAATGTAATTTTATTATGTACACTTTACTCATCATATTCAACCCTAATGAAATGTGAACAAAAAATCCTACACCCAAAATCCTCAGTATTAACTCCAACTATTTGATCATCATTATTTAGTAATTCATTGATGTATACAAATCTCATGGTACTTTCATGAATCATAATTTATTTTTAGGTGGAATAGATACCAGTGCAACTACGATGACGTGGGCGATGGCAAAATTAGCTAGGAAACAAAAATTGATGAAGAAAGCCCAAGAAGAAGTTAGAAGATGCATTGGAAACACAAAGGAAAAATTAGTGAACGAGATACAGATGAGCTTCAATACGTCAAGATGATAATCAAAGAGACTCGATTGCATCCTCTAGCTCCTATGATTATTCCAAGAGAAACCATGTCTCATTTCAAAATCCAAGGTTCTGATATTGACCCCAAAACACTTGTCTTTGTCAATGGCTGGGCAATTGCTCGAGACCTTGAGTCTTGGAAGGACTCAAAAGAATTTATCCCAGAAAGGTTTGATGGCAGCTTCATTGATTATAAAGGGCAGAATTTTGAGTTTTTACTATTTGGAGCTAGTCGAAGAATTTGTCCTGGGATGTACATGGGAATAACAACACGACAGCTTGGACTTGAGATTTGATTGGAAATTGCTTAATGGGATGAAGGAGGAAGATATTGATATGGAAGAAAATAGGGTGTACTATGGGTATTTTTGGTAGTTAAATAGGGTGTACTTAGTTAATTTTATATTTGGATCTAAATATTAGGGTATAGTTAGATCATAGAGTGTACTCAATTAATTTTAGGGTTCGTTTAACATCACCTTAATTTTTTTATCTTTTATTGTGTTCCTCATCATAAATTTTAGGGTAAACTACAGTAAACCCCCCAACCTATAGGGTCATTTACGAGTTCATACCCGATTTTGGGGACATTTATGAATACATACTCAACGTCACGGAAAACCTACAAATTGACTCCTCTGTTAGCGAGATCGTCAGAAAATTCGTTATTTGCCTACGTGGAATTTGTGGGACCCATTTTTAATTGACATGGAGTTCCACGTGGACAAGAAATAATAAAAAAAGTTATTTTTTAAATTATTTTAATAAATTAAACATATTAAATTAAAATTAAATTAAAATTTTAAATAAAAAAAAATTAAAATTAAAATTTTTTCTTAAAAAAAACCATACCCAGACACCATCTTCCCACAACCACCATCTCCAACCTGCACTAGCGCCACCCACCCCCTGGCATCTCTCTCTGTAGAACTTCCACCATCGCTTGACGACCCACCAGCCGCCTCTCATCATCCCACCCAACCAACCCCCATCATCTCTTCATCCGACTTAACCCTTCGTCAATCCACCCCGAACCCACTGCCAATGCAGTTCTCTCTCTCTCTCCCCCCAATACAACCAAACTCCACCTCCCTCTGCTTACCATGAGTTGCCACTTCCATTTTTAATTTACCCAAGCTCAGTATGGATGAAATTTGGGCAGCAAATATTACAAAAAATAAATAAATAAACTGGGTGGCAACATCACCTTTCAAGATGCCAAAATGGAGATTTCATAATGAAAATTTCAAAAAGATGCCAAAATGGAGATTTCATAATGAAAATTTCAAAACAAATGTCCAGTATTATCAAACCAAATAGCTCGAATTTGAAATTTGATTCAATCTAATGGCCTCGAATTCAAAATTCATTTTAGAGAAATATCAAATCTAGACATCCAACCACGGCCTTCCATCTCCCCTCCATCGCCTACCAAAGCTCCCTCTTTCCGACTACTACACCCGATGTCCATCAAAGTTACCCCCTCGCCCACCTCCCAACGACGAAACCAACTCTAGATTCAACTCCTAACCCAGAATCAGATCTGGATTTTGTGTACACTCTATTTCATTAAACAAAAAAATATGATTTTTTATTAATTTGACAGATGGTGGGGGAATAGAGTTCATATGGGTTTTGTGTGCACCCGACCATTGCTCTGAAAGTGGGATGATAATATGAGGGTGGGGGAATAAGGATGGGTCAAGGACGTACGTTGAGATTTTCTTTGGATGGGGGTGGTGAGCTGGTTGTTTCTTTACTTTTTGATTTGATTTTTCTTTACTTTTTAATGAAATAGTGATTTTAATATTTTAAAACTTATTTTAAAAAGTAGATAATTTTTTATTATATTTTTTGTCCATATGGAACTCCACGTCAATTAAAAATGGGTCCCACAAATGCCACGTAGGCAAATAATGGATTTTTTGATGATCTCGCTAACGGAGGGGGCAATTTGTAGGTTTTCCGTGATGTTGAGTATGTACTCATAAATGTCCCCAAAATCGAGTATGAACTCTTAAATGACCCTATAGGTTGGGGGATTTACTGTAGTTTATCCTAAATTTTAAGACACAAGGAGAAATAGTGTTTGACTTGCTTGGACACGGTGCTAAGCAATATAATGTTATTATCCCATGGCCAATCTTCACCGAGATGGTACTAATCGATATTACTCTTACATGAACATAATATCTTCATAGTCATGTTTAACACAATATCTTTATAGTCACGTTTTATCGTTCCCATTCTCCTTACCTTTTGTTCAAAGGGAAATGCTAACAACCTTCTTTTTAACCTTCTCCTTTGGACTTTCTCCCTTTTACTCATGACATATGTCACTTTTCATATGCTTAAAACAATGTCAATACACTTAAAACAATGTTATAAATGCATTACACAAGCTAAATTTTGTTTTCCAAGTTTATACTTATTAAATGTATTGATTTTTTTATTTTTTTTTACAACTTTCTTACCATCTTATTAATAAATAAATAAAAAATAAAAAACGCTAGTTTATTTTTTATTTTTTTTCTTAGTTACAAAAGAAGTCCATGCTATGCTAGGACAACAATTTATTATTACAATCTGTATCTTTTGGAAAAACGAAAAGCATACTTTTATATATATATATATATAATTAAAATAAAAATAAAAAAACCTACATTTTTTCTTCTTTAATTTTTTTATATGGTGGAAATAAAGTTATGCAAGGACCAAAGGTTTTATTAGCGACATATTTATTCTTTGGAAAAACAAAAATCAAATAGTTTTTTTAATATATAAAAACCTTTCTTTTTTCTTATTTAATTTTTTAATAAGGTGGAAAGAAAGCTGTTAAAATACTAGGTTGTTGTAAAAAAAAATATATGTATATATATATATATATATTTAACAAGGGTTAATTTGGAAAAGAAACATTTGCTTGTGTCATGTCATGAGGAAAAGGGAGAAAGTCCAAAAGAGAAGGTTAGAGAGAAGGTTACTAGCAATTCCATTTGTTCAAATCAAATGCCAAGATCAATACTGCAGCGGGTTGTGCAACAATGGCACGATGGATTTGCTTAAGGGTTTTCCCTTTTTTGTTTCTGAACCTGGCTTTCGTGCCAAGATGAAGAATATTATTTGGCTAATATTGTTGTGTGTTATTCATCTCACAATGAGGAATATATATATATATATATATATATATATATATATACACACACGTAGGGTTACAATCCTAATCTCACTATTGCAGAGAGTAATTACAGTACTATACTAAGAAACCTAATATTACAAGAAATTACCTAAAATATAATACAAAAGTCAACAATTACATAGCATGAATAAGAGAAAATAATTTATCTTGGTGGGTATAATGTCATTTTCCAAACTCATATTGATAAATCCATGCTTTATTTTAAATTCTTGGTTATGAATTTGAACCACACATGTAACAATAAACTTGCTCAAATGGCCCATCTTCACAACCCTTAAACATAATATGCATCGAGCAAAAGGCCACTAGTGTAGTTTTTGGAGCAATTGATTCTCCAGTAAAGATTTTGGATTCGAGTCCTAACATTTGTATAGTATGTGCGTGAGTTTAGTATGTTGTCGACCCTCTCAATATGAAAGTTTCTAAAAAAAACATAAGATGCTCAGGTTGTAATCGTAGAAGTGTATAACATATCTTATTAATAGCTTCTCTCTTGGTCACAATTCATGTTCTCTTTTTCCTTCCCGATTCTTTTAGCTGCTTTGCTACTAGTTGTTAATATCTATCTTTATGTATTTTATTTTTGTAATAATTATACATTATTTGTAAGAAGTTCATTATAAATATTTTGAGAATATTTACAACGGCTTTGGATAATATTTTATTTTGAATTCAACATAATGATCCAAATATTCATTTTCTAATTTTCATTGCTAGAATAGGCATTATATATGCAGCATGCTTAAACCTTTTAAAAAATTTGTTACTGATATAAACTATAGTATGCCACTCACTTAGATTCTTGGAGCTACTCATTTTCCTAGGTTCCATCTTTGTTATAGATGATACTTCGGGTTGTCTCTAGTTGATTTTCTTAGAAACTTTTTTGTCAATACGGTATTGCAGACATGGGTTAGGTGCCAAGGTAGTGCCCCTTTGCATTCAAGTTTGAATTCCCCTAGAGTATATTAATAATTTAGACTATTACTTGTATTTAGAAATAAATTTTTTTTTAATAATAAAAAGTCAGACTGGTGTTACTTAACATGAAAATAACAAGTTAGGTTTTATTTTCTAAGGACCAATTTGTGAGTGCTTCTACATAAAGAACTTATTCTCATACGAGCTTTTATTAGAAGATCATCAAAATTTTAGCTAAAAATCCAAGTGACTCTTGAAAATATGCCTACCACGTGCTTCTCCATAGAGTGCTTTTATGATCCATTAGCGCGTGCTTCTAAATTGTTCTATGAAACACAGTTATAAGTGTTTCTGGTTATCCGAAAGCGCTTTTAGCCCTCCCAAAATTACTCCCACACAACCCTAAGTGTAACTCTAGCATATTTGGTTGTTAATTTTTTTTTCAATTGAAGTTTTGGATGGGGGATGGCGAGGTATCATTAGGGTTCGAACTTGAGACCACTAACATGCAGGTAAATACTCTTACCACTAGCTATATATGAACCTGTTGGCGCATATTTGGTTGTTATTGGTTACTTGAAAAGTTAGGGTTTAAATGCATTCCATAATCGATTAGTGTCATTAATGCTACAAATCATTATCGCCACCACCACCACTTTCATGCATGATTACTACGTACCATCAGTTATTGTTTCTGTAGTTGTTCGTACCGTTATAATAAAATATGAAAACTATCGAGTTATGTATAACCATTGTTGACAACATTTCTAAAATACTAGCTATAGTTTATCAGTTCCACTCCAAACATTTCTAAATACAAATTTTCGAAAATTGAGGGAATTTTAATTTTTTAATAAATGAACCACATTATCTATATATATATATATATATATATATATATATAAAGCAAAAGGCAGAGAATGGTGAAACATTCAAAATACCAGAAAATGCTATTGATTAATTTAAACATTAAGAATTGAAATTATTAATTAAATGAGGATAATATGGTAAATTCACTTTTTTCATATTAAAAAAACTAAAATTAAAAAAAAATCAAATAATGGGACATACTTTTATGGAACATAACTACCCATGTTATCTTTTCTTAATTCTAAAAATAAAAGAAAAAAGAAAACCAATTGGCACATGCGCGAAGACAAGATGAAGACACGAGGATGGAGCCCAGGAGGTCTGTAGTTCAATCGCGCATGTGCCAAGGGGCTAGTAAGTATAAAGACAAAGATGAAGACACGAGGATGGAGCCCAGGAGGTCTGTAGTTCAAAAAAATTCACCTGCCAGAAAACGTCCCATAGTATTTTTCACCTACTAAAAAGAGTAAGAAGCCCGTGTATTTTCAAAACCACCCTCCTAGACACAAAACAGCCCATGGTTTCATTTCATCTATAAAATAACCTAAAGAGCAGTCAGTTGGTATGTGTCAACAAAAAAACCCTTCTGCCGTCTCCAGTTCTAATTCATATTTTATTAGGTTTGGGGGTTCCTCTGTGTGTGTGTGTATGTGTGTGTGTGTGTGAGAGAGAGAGAGAGAGAGAGAGAGAGAGAGAGAGAGAGAGAGAGAGAGATGAAGGCATCTGAGTTTTCTGAAGGCCAAGATGAAGAGGAAGATGATGCTAGAACTGTAGAGTCTGATCCAGGCTTCAAAATCGGATCGTTGATTTACCAGAGGTACAGCTCCATTTTTATTTATGTATATATGCTATCAATAACCTTGTGCTGTTAGGGTTTCATAATCATGATTCTTTAGATCTAGATCTGGAAAATTGGGAGCCCCTTTTGATAAATCTGTTACAATTTCACCCGTTTATTATTAAATTTTTCTAGATTTAGTTTTCTTCTTCTAGAATCTGAAGTCTCTTTTTAACAAATCATCCTATGCCGTAAAAAACATCCACTAAATTTAAAGGAAATTTATTCGTTATGGTAACCAGAACTGGTTTGGTGATTCAATCGATGTTATTTGATTTGTGTAGATCTAAGAGTCCTATTAGAATTTTAACATGTCTAGCATATTTGCTCATGGTTTGGAAATTCTTTGTTTCAAAACCCTCTAGTCTGAGTACCAGAATTATATATATGTATCCAATGCTACACAAATTGAAAGCTAATAATGGTAATGGGACCTTGAAGCCTCTAAACATTTCCAAATCTTCAATCTGCTCAATTAACAGAAACCCCGCTGATTTTAACGGGTACATGATTAGAGGTGAAGACCTAAAATTTGGGAAGCGGATTCCTTTTTCAAGGAGGCATGGCTTAGTGAAAGTGGATAAGCACAAGTGGCAGAGAAATATGAAAGCCCTCTACAACTTGCTCATGATATCAAACCTTATTAGTATTTCCTTTGCTTTTTTAAATGAGTTTATGAATTCTATTGCATTCTGCAGGGAAAACTTTTCCAAGAAAAGGCACGTGAAGTGGATGAAGAGTCAAATGAAATGATTCTTAGAACAAGGTTAGCATCCTTTTCGTTGAAATTTTTATGATGTGTGTTTCTACTCTTTGTGGACATTGATTAATGATGGTGTATAGAGCTCCACAATGTTAATTAATTTTTTCTTTTATTGTGTTCCTCATTAGAAATATTGAGATACAAGGAGAAACAGTGCTTGACTATTGCATGGACATTTTTTTTCCAAGAAAAGGCACGTGAAGTAGATAATGAATCGAATGAAATCTCTTTAGACGAGGTGAGCATCCTTTTGGGTTGAAGTTTTTGTGGTGTATGTTTCTACTCTCTGTAGACATTGGTTAAAGGTGGTGTACACGGAGTCCTACAATGTTAATTTTTGGGTGTTGTTAAACGAATCTTAAAATTAGCTGAGTCCATCCTTCCACACCACCAAACTATTTATTAAATTACTATTTTACCCTAATATAAAATGATCAAAAAGGATATATTGAATTGTAAAACAAATGTAATTTTAATAAGTGCACAAATGTCAGCGAAAAATCCTACATCCAAAAACCTTAGTATTAACTCCAATTATTTGTGTCATCTTTATTTAGTCATCCATTGATGCAAACAAATCTCATGGTACTTTCGTCAATCATAATTTATTTTTAGGTGGAATAGATACCAGTGCAATGACATGGGCGATGGCAGAGCTAGCTAGGAAACCGAAACCGATGAAGAAAGCCCAAGAAGAAGTTAGAAGATGTGTTGGAAACAAAGGAAATATCAGTGAACAATATACAAATGAGCTTCAATACGTCAAGATGATAGTCAAAGATACCAGATTGCATCCTCCAGCTCCAATTATTATTCCAAGAGAAAACATGGCTCATTTCAAAATCCAAGATTATGATATTGACCCCAAAACACTTGTCTTTGTCAATGGCTAGGCAACTGCACGAGACCTTGAGTCTTGGAAGGACCCAGAAGAATTCATCCCAGAAAGGTTCGATGGCAGCTCCATTGATTATAAAGGGCAGCATTTTGAGTTTTTACCATTTGGAGCTAGTCGAAGAATATGTACTGTGATGTACATGGGAATAACACTACATATTAGGGTGTACCATGGGTAATTTTGATAGTTAAATGGGGTGCACTTAGTTAATTTTATATTTTGACCTAAATATTAGTATTAGGGTGTACTTAGATCATAGGGTGTACTAATTTTAGGGTTTGTTTAACAACACCTTAATTTTTTATTTTTTTTTAAATCTTTTATTGTGTTCCTCATTAGAATTATTAAGACACAAGGAGAAATAGTGCTTGACTTGCTTGGACACGGTGCCAAGCAATCCCATGGCCGATCTTCACCATCATGGCACTACTCCATATTACTGTTACATGAACATAATACCTTCATAGTCACGTTTAACATAATACCTTTATAGTCACGTTTTATAGTTCCCATTCTCCTTGCCTTTTGTTCAAATCAAATGCCCAGGATCAATAATGTCACCTTCTTGGAACACATCAAACCCTATCCCTAGTTTCCATAGCCAGCTTAATTGCTTATTACTTGGATGCCAGCTTAATTGGAACACATCAAACCCACGGAAATACCACCCATTATGCCCTTAAAAGGAAGTTACATCAAGTGTTTTGGAAGATTAATCTTTTCACTATTTTATTTAAGGCTGTTATTAGATGTTTTGGAGTACGTCCCTTATTGTGCTAATGAGTGCAACCGTTTATTGGTCAATTTTTTTCATTCTTTTCCACCCATTATGCCCTTCATTTGATGTCTTCGTAACCAATTGAATCGTGCAAATTGAGATTTATATTGATTTTTTTATTATTATTATAAGCAATAGGTTTTTAATTTTTAATTTTTTATTTTTTATTTTTTATTTATAAGCCAAATAAGTGATGGTATAAATTAAAGAGGAGGTTGATTTTTCACACACACGCAACTCAGATGTCATTGGGGTTTGAACCTAAGATTTATTGTTTGCAAGTCAAGGCCATTTTCCACTCAGCTATACCCCTTATCGAGATTCATATTGATTCTTAAATCATTTTTTATGTCACGGCAAAGCAACATTACCGCTGATATGTCATCAATACATACTGGAATTCATTATACTAGGCTTGTGGGATCCACGTATATTATTCTACATTATGAAGGACAAAGAAAAAGAAATAGAGGTACGAAAACATGACCATTCTCTCTCACACTGGCTGAAAGTATATCTTAATCCTTCCTGCTCCTAAACCGGCAATGGATGCGAATGCTTCTCTAGACAAGTCAAGTTGTTGGGCTTGACAGCCGGGGCAGAGGTCGACGACGGTCACGTACACCACATTATTGGCTTTGCATGGATTCCGACCCTTACTGTATGCTGCAGTTAGGCATGTAACCTTGTATCTCCTCCCACAAATAGCTCGGCGGTTATAGAGCATGTAGCTTGCAGCTGCAACGATAGGGCCGCTGTCTCTCCCCCCCAAAGCAGGCAGAAGCTATACAAAATTAAGCAAATTATTATAAATATATGAGCCTTACGGGAATCAAATGAAGAAAAAATTCACCACCATGTTGAATTCTTGAACCTTCCTTAATTAAAATACACAAGGCAGTCAAATAAAGCCTTACGGGTATAGGGAGGATTGTAGTAGGTTGCAGAACCAGTAGTTCCAATAGCTGGACTTGAAAAGAAACAAAAGATAATTAATGCTGTGAGGATGAACAAGTTGTGTAGCCTTACCATCGCTAGTTTCTTTTCTAGTGCTCTAATCAAAGTTTGTTACTGCTAGAGATGGAATTAATGCCCTAATTTTGGCTTAGCATAACCATTAATTTATAGAGGTTTTTTTTTTATGGATATTTTAATCTAGAGCTTTCACATGCACAGCACAGAATGATTGTGAAGCTTCCGAGCACAAACACATAAATAAGATTCTGAATATTACCTTTTGTCTTCAAATGCCAAAAAAAAAAAAAAAAAAAAAAAAAAAAAAAAAAACATTTCATCATATCTAGTTGCACGTTCTTGTGATTAAATATTTTAAATGTTGGTCTAATAACATGAAAAATACTTAAGGAGATTTTAATTATTAATGTAGTAGGTGGTCGACCTTATAAGACTATAAGGTCCAAAGGCAAAGAAAGTGAAAAGATTGAAGATCAAGACAAGTTAATAATAACCAAAAGAATTGAAATCTTCGCAGATGATAGAACTGATGAGTGTGGAGGAGAGGAGAGGAACATATATAGAATGGTTTGCAATTCAAACAAAATAAATATTTTTCTCTTTCGTTTTGCCCTTAAAAGCTAGGATATATATATATATATATATATATATATAGGGGATATATATATATTTTTATTGCATGTGATATTAACCCAATTTACCTTCTACCAAGTCTTTTCCCTCATTATAAAACTTTTGTTTAGCCCATCACCACAACAAATATATACTCTTGTTGGTTGCTGCGATTCACTGAACTTAACTAAACTTAGTTGTCGAGGTAATTCATGTTGTTGTTTATTTATTAGTGGATGGATATGAAATAAACAAAATCAAGCAAATTGGTATGTTGATACTCGGAGAGGAATAGTGGTTTTTATAAGAGTATCTCCAATCGATATATCAAATCCAAAAGCCAAATCAATAGAAACATAACATCACAACTCACTCCAACCAAATAGCTTTAAGCCTACGTGAGTGAATTGGCGTTCTTGTTCAAAACGTTCATAATGACGCCGCAGGCTGGAGACGTCTTTTTTATTTAATATTAATTTTTTAACCAATGGCCCACCAAGCAGTCCTTTGGGCTTTGCAATTTTTTGAAGGTTAATAAATATACAAATTTATAAATAAACCCAATCCTAGACATATATTTATAAAAAAAACCCAAGTACTATTTAAACATAGAAACACACCCAAAATCAACCCCAAAGTCAACTTTTTGGGTGTGTTTATAAATGAGTTTTGAGTGTGTGTAATGATGAGTTTTGGGTGTGTTTATATGTTTAAATAGTGCTTGGGTTTTTTTTATAATTTCAGACCCCATTTTGGGTGTTTTAGTAAAACTCCCTAAATATTGTAGTGCAGTGAAAATAAACTTTTTTCTTATACCAGTTTGAGACACTTACTAAATATGATAAGGGACTACCAGACTCTGATTCCTTCATAGCATGATTCATCCTTGCTCCAATTCCTTCAAAACTAATTCATCATTGCTTCAATTCCTTCATACTGCAATTCTGTTTTATTCCCATTCTGAATACATAACCAAGTCATGTACCCTCATAACATTTTACTATATTAAAAAAAATGACTATTTAATTTGAACTTTCTTTTTAAAAAATAAAATTTTAATTTCAGGCACCCCATAAAGGAAAAAAAAAATTGGGATGTTAAGTAAAATAAGTAGCAACAATTTTTAATTTTTAATTTTTGGTGAAACTATTTTTTATTTTTAAGAAAGGGTAAAATTGTAAATTAAGCTCAGTGCAAGCAAATTGGCACTGAAGTGCGAGCGGGAAGTTTGAAACATAATCGTTGCAAAGACGAGAGGGCAAAAGTGTAAATATACAGACGAAACGCGATTAACTTTAGGCTGGGGCAGTGGGCAGAGTAGATAGCAGAGCACCTAGCGACGTGAAAGCTAAGCTACTGGTTTGCGAGAGAAGTGAAGAAGAGAACGAATTGAGAAAAAATATAGCAGTGGCTTGTAAACCCTAAATCCCCAAATCCATATAACCCTAATCTCTCTCTCCCTCTCTCTGTCTCTCTACATTCCCATTCCGATTCTCCTATCACACAAAAAACACCCTTCAAAATCACACGCTTCGCTCTTGGCCACAACCACCGAGCGACGTGAAAGCTAAGCAATTGGGTTTGCAAGATAAGTGAAGAGAATGAATTGAGAAGAAATATAGCCGTTGGTTGTATACCCTAAATCCCCAAATCCATACAACCCTAATCTCCCTCTCTCTCTCTTTCTTTCTCTCTCACTCACATTCCCATTCTGATTCTCAATCACACGCTTCGCTCTTGGCCAAAACCCACTTGCCAGAAACTGAAAATCACGCAACTTACTTGTTCAATCTTTCTTTCTTCGTTTATAGTTGAAGTGTTGTTTTAATTCGTTTGGTGACAATGAGGCTTGAAGATTTGAAGCTTAATCTGAATTCTTTGAACAATCGCAACCACAAGGTCTCTGCAAAACCCAATCCCGGCCGTTCTTTCAAGCGTCCACGTTCCTCCGATTATGATTCCGATTCCAATTCCAATTCTCATCCCCATCCAGTTAGGATTTTGGGTCAGCAAACGAAGAGGATGGTAAAGAGACAGAGGCAGATGCCTAAGGCTAAAGATATTGATGAAGAAGATAATGGCGGGTTGGCGCCCTTGAAGGCAGTTTTTGATCATGGTGCCGCCGTGAGTAATTCTGAGGTTTCTTCTAGTAATTTCAGTAGCTGCAAATCGCCAGTCACAGTACTCCATCACGCCTCTCCTGTCAACGCCACAACATCCAATGAGATCAATCTGTCACCAAGAAGGGCTGCTCGGGTTGCAATGCTGAAGGCCCGATTTGCAGGTACCATCCTTAAAGCCAAACAAGATGTTCTTTATAGTGGCTCTAATGGTCTTGAAAACACCGACGACGAGATCAAGAGGTTTAAAGCTGCCGAGATGAAGAAAGCCAATGAGTACATCAAGGAGCAACGGCAACGAGATAGAGAAGCAGCTCGGCTTGCCCTCGAAGAGATGGAGAGAAATGTTGTCATCGATGATAACTTCAAAACGATGAGAGACTTCGAGATGTTAATTTCTGGCGCCAATTGCTAGCATGTGGAGATATTGGAGACTGTTAAGCTAAGAGTATATGGATAGATAGATAGATAGCTTCAAGTAATTAAGATTTTTACATATAGGAAGAGGCTGCAGCATGCACAAAGTGCTAATTAGTAAGTCTACTGTCTTGTAGGCATTTCCACTGTGTCTGTATATTTTCAAATTATAGCAATGAAAGAATATTTTGTCTCTTAACTTCCAAGCTCAAAGTATAAACTGTCTGTCGGATTTGAATATTTTGTCCTATAAACAGTTGAAAGTAACTTCAAACAAAACAGTTTAGTCAATCTAGGTTAGACGTTAAACACGATAAACGTTAAAGGCACAAACTTTCTTCACAAGATTATTAAAAAAGTCAGCTCTTTCCAATGCATTTTCAGTTTTCAGATATTCATGCAGTGTCTAACAAGATTATTAAAAAAAGTCGGCTCTTTCTAAGGCATAAACAGTTGAAAATGAAAGTAACTTCAAACAAAAACAATTTAGTCAATTTAGGTTAGACAGGAACCAAGGTTAGGGCGTCAACTTTCTTGACAAGAATCAAGACTATAAAAAAAGTCGATGCATTTTCAGTTTTCAACTATTCATGCAATCAATGATCACAAAGGCAATAACTGCAGGTGCTTTCACTCTGTGAACCACTAGTATGATTTTCTTAGCTGTCATCTGTTACTGTAAAAGTATTAAAGAAAAGCTCTATTTCTTCTAACAATCTCTTATCCCAAAAATCTAATCCTCCAGAATCCCTGTCTAGTATATAGAGATGACTCAGATGACATCATGAATGAAATACTCACAAACTTCTCCCAAATTGTACAGGATAGTGACCACCTTCCTTTTATTCTCTTCTGCACTTTCATGTTGCCTGTTGGCAGTGTACTTTAGCTTTCTGCACACCTGCAATGTATAAAATAGATGCATCATCTCTCTGTTAATCGCACTTCCTTGCTATTTGACTTCTAAATCCTCAAGCATGACTGGAATGACAAAGGGTGAAAATTTAAGGAAACCTATCAGCCCATGTTCATTCTAAAACCAACTGGACAAAAGTAAACTGACTCATTGTTACATTTGGAGTATTATAAAAAAAATAAAAAAATAAAAAAGGCAAAGAAAGCTTCAATTTAATCCGTTAACGTGCCCACTGGACAAGAACAAAAACCAAGGGAACACAAAATGCAAGACATAGAAATGGTCACATGGAGCAACTGATTTACACAAGCAATTTGATCCGTCTTTAAGAATTCAACAGAGTTCTAAATAAAAATGGAATTTGCGTGCTCAAATAATTGGGTGCAAGAATCATCAAATAGAGATCTCATCCACTCAGGAACCTTATGCAGTTTTAACAATGTGACTGTTACATGAACTGTTACATGAATTTTGATGCTAAGCATGGAACTCACATTTGTCCCTTGCATTGGAAATTCCCCACCCCAAGATCATTGATAGGCAGAGGCCGCAACTCATAGCCACTATGAGGAACTGTAGAGAATTAGGCCTTCTAGGACAGCCACTATAGACATTAGGTACTCCATGGTGCATTTCAATTCCTCCCTAGTTCGATTCCTCTGATCAGATATTCTGGTAAACAACTCCAACAGGCATGGTGAAGCAACCAAAGGAGATCCAAAATGCATTAGTCTGCATAGGTCATGGCAGTAGATTCAAATAAAGGAAATTTGCTGCATACTATCTGGTTGTAGATTCAAAAGAAAAATGCAATTTTTTATGGTTGGTTGAATTTAATAGGATGAACTAACCTTCTTAACAGTAATTTATAAGAAGCACCAATATTAAGACTTCTCCACACCTTCTAAAACCTGAAAATAATGGCTTTTAAAGCTACTATGAGCACTTGATTTGCAGAATGGTTAAAAATTAAGGGGAAAAAATTCCAATTACTAAGACATTCATGATTCCACCCGTCTGCAGCTCTTGTGGTGATAATTATTAACTACAGAAGAAGACAAAGCTTTCTTATTAAATTCCTGTAGGAGAAAGTAAAGCTGGAATCAGCAAAATTAAGTTACTCACCGTCATTGTCACTGCAAGCCAATAGCCATCATGAGAAAGAGTTCCATGGTGCACTGAGCATAAAGTTTAAAATTAAAACTGAGACAGGTGCGATATCTGTGGGGACTGTGTATAAGTTGATTTGCAATAAAGATTGTGGTAAGCATTCCCAATACCACGCAAGCATCAATGGTCTGAAACAGTTAGAAATATATCAATAATAGTTCCCATGAGATTCACTTCACAAATTATGTCATGCTGTTGGCCTTCTTTTTCTCCAAAATTCCTATCGATAAGAACAAAAAAAATATTGCTCCTGCTATTAACTCTGCAATTGAATTAACATTTACCATATGATACTCTTGTTTCCATGGAGGATGATGTCAGACCCATTTGCTATATTCCTTCCACAAAATCTCTGCAGCTGATAAGACAATGGCCTGTTGATTTTCTCTTGTTGAAACAACCATTTCAATGCTAATGGACAAATCCCATTTATTTTCACTTAAAATTTCGAACAGGACTCTCTCAGCTTCTGGAATGTAGGGAATTTGGTGGCTAACCTTGGCGATATCCCTATAAAGACCATAATAATACACCAGCCTCATTACTGTACGTATCAGTGATAAAATTGTTATCAGGGATATATATGTTTTAAGACCAATAAGATGTAAGTTTTAAAGATATTGTTGAAAAGCTTTTCGTTATTAGAAGTCGGTCGGTGTGCATATTAATCTATTGAGACTTCACTCTATACTCTAAATCCTAGCCATAAAATTTGCAGATAAACAAGGTCATGCTAATTCACAAATTGTCCTTCTCTCATTTTCCTTTTTTAATCATTCCACAATGATGAAAAAATTTGATATGCAAGGGCAAAAAATGTAACCAAAATTTGAGTTTCCAATTCTTGTCAGGGCTGTATGTTAAAATCCGATCACTTGTAAATTTCATTTGATTGGTGTTCACTGGGAACTCTGAACTTGTATAAGGTAGAGAAATCTAAATCTAAAGAAAGAGGACAAACTATTCAAATGAACACTAACTCATCCTCCTTTGTATTAAAACATAAATAAGGCAATTTCAGGTTTTAATTAACATCCTTCAATTATACTGTACTTGTTCCACAAGCAGTCTATGATTATCTATAGTTCCAACAATTATAGGTTGCAAAAAGTCTAATCTAGGCCTCTACCTAATGATTAATTAACAAGCCATGAGAAACAGTAAAATCAAGTTCGATTATACCAAAATCATACATTGTTTGATTACTGAAAAATACAAAATTCATTTTACAGTTTTCCTTCATTTTCTCAAGAATCAAATGGGAAATAAAGCATTACCAAAAGTATTTATATAAAATCTCAAAATTGGTTTATAATTTCACAAAAAAAAAAGGAACACCAAATTCGTCCAACCTTAACCAATCATGCACTGTTTGATTAGCTAAAAACATAAACATTCATAACACTTTCCTACATTTTCTCAAGAAGCAAACAGAAAACAAATCATTACCCCAAATTTTAATCTAAATCTCAAAATCGATTCCGAAATTCACAAATACACAAGTAGAGAATTGATAAATGCAGAGGATGTAAATACCATATAATCTGACGGCGATTCAAGGCCAACGGATCGGACGCGAGGTGATCGGAAACCCTAGAGACGAAGTCAGCTCAGAGCGAAGAATCAGCAAAAACGCAGAGAGCGGAAATGAGATCAACGACTTGTCGTGCGATGAGGTCGTCGTGGAAGGAAGAGAGACCTTGAACGAGAGGCGAGACGAAGAAGAGGGTCGGAGATGGCCTGCGAGACACACAGAGAGAGAGAGAGAGCGTAGGACACGTGGACGGTGGGAAATTGAGGGTTGAAAAGAAGCAGAGCAAGCGCGTTGCTGAATTTGAAGCATAGTCATCTTCTGATGCTTGGTAGCGTTGGAGGTGCTGTGACTGCGAGTCCCTCCAACTACATTTTGCGAGCGTGTGATGTGAAAGTGTTTGAATTTTGGCGCCAGAGAATTTCGGGTTTTATCACGCTAGCGGGGTAACACTAGGAAAAAAGGGCCTAAATAGTAAATACTGTTCAAACCGGCCCAACAAACTAATCCCATCGGTTTAATTTGTGAGTTGAAAAATAGGAGACTTTTGATTCAGTTCAAAATGAGGGAAGTATTTATAAAGAATGACAAAATCATAGTGTTTGTATAATAATGCTTTTCTTCATTTTTTGTATTGCCTAAGGAGTCTGTTTCTTCTTTTCATATGATGTCAAGGGAGTTTTGCTTTCTGATTACCGTATAGAGCGAAAAAGGATGGAACTTATACTTCATCTACTGGGATGATCCTTCACATGAAATGAAGTTGATGATGTTTCTTTTATCATGAGGTTGTCACATGGAGTTATGCTTCCATCATGTTATCTATATTATGTAGCTCGTCTTCTCCTAAGTTATTCCAGCATGAGTTGTCGTTGTCTTTTGCTTCAATTTGTTCTACTATCTTGTTATAGATTTCATCAAAAACTTTTCCTCTTGTTTTGCTTATCCTAAATTCATATGTGTCATATGGTCTCTTGGATGTAGTCTCTAAATAAATCTTGATAAAGTTGGGTTGGTGAAGAAGGTTCAGATTCATCATTGAACAATTGTTGCTTAGCTATTGTTGCTCCTCTGTATTTTTGAATATCTTGCTTGGTAAAGATCTTCATATTTACGGATTCTGCTGGACTAAGCAGTTCATTATGAGAAATAATAATACTATGTTGTGCTCTATCTAGGTAATACTATCCGTAAACCACTCTTGGGGTATGCACTCGTGAAATCTAATTTTACGTTCTTCCAGAGAGGGATATATATATATATATAACTTCTTTTAATTTTGAGGAAAATGAATCTAAATGATGACTATTTTCAATATAAAGTTGACCTAAATAACCATACTTTGCTAAACATGCTGGAGTAATTGTGATAGTTTTTGGGTTATGCTCTAAATGCAATTCTCTATATTCCACCATGTTAATACTAGCTAAATAAATAGTATAATGAGAACACCTTTTAGTAATAATTTTTATACCAGGTTGTGTATTATTTTTTAAATTAAAAAGAAAAGCTTGAATGTATAACTAAAGAGATGTATTTTGCTCATATTCTAATATAATCATATGACTCTTAATATCTTATGGTAAAAATCTTTACCTTTCTCTAGCTAGGGTTTGAAGAAGATATGGATTTTTAATTTTTTACTCAAGGGAAAATTCTCTATGATGCTCAAGTAAGTTGGGCTCATTAACCTCTTTTTCTGGTAAAATCATGCTTAAATTTTGACATCTTAAATTAATAATTCTAAAATTTCTTACTATTGTATCATACTCTTTCTTTTGCTCTTCATGTTTTTCTTGCAAAAAAGAAAGATGGTTTTTTGCTCTTTTATAATCATAATTATATGCTAAAAACTCTTGTTCAAGGGCTTTAATAAGTTTTTCATGCCTTGTTCTCATGCTATCATTATTAGTTCTAATATTCCAAAAATTGTCTAAAAGAACTTTTTGTTTATCTGCTAATGATGCTCGAGTACGATATTTTAAAGCAGGATTTCTAACCTCTTGTACTCGAATTCCATTATAATAATACGTATTAGGTCTTGTTTACATTTCATATCTCTTATGTTGACTGAATTATATCTATAAACAATAAGAATGTTGGAATTCTGAGCAGGTGTGTTCGGTTGGAACTTTGGAATAAATTGAGTATGAACACGTGGTGCATTATAGAGACTACATCAGTGCAGATGGGGATTGGTTGTTGAGTCAAAAGTTTCTCAGCACATAGGCTGCATGCTAACCAACTAACAAAGCGTAGAAATCATGATGCTTTTTCATCATTTCATTTGAATGTTCTTGGGCTATAAAAAATCCCTTGATGCTACTAACCACCCTGCTCAATATGGCTTCTATTTCAAATTCTATTTATAAGATTGTTCTTCTGGGAAATGTTAGACCTTCAACAACAAATTTGGCACCTGAAAAGCTCACCAAACTCACAAAACAAAAACTAGCATCATAGATAGGCTGAACGGCCTACTACATGTTCTAGCAGCCAGTCCATTCATTATTTATCGTAACTTGCGCTATTTCTTTCATATCTCCAATGTTACTGACTAGAATATGTGGTAACTCGTTCAAGCCTTTCTATGGCGCTAGTCTTATGTTTTGTGAGTTTGGTGCTGCAAGGGTTGTGAAGTTAGCATTGCTGCCCAGTGATGGCCCTTCAAGTTTCTTCTTTGTTCAGAATGTAGTGTCAGGTCTTTGATTGAAGATTGGGTAGCATCTTGAACTTTTATTTTAATGCAACAAAGTATATTTGGAACCACCAACAGATCCTCTTTAAGTTCTTTCTACTTTCAATATGAGGATTGCATGTATGATGCAGTCATATCAATTCTGCAACAATTCCTGTATGATTGCATCTCTTTTAAATTATCAACAAGCTCATCTGAAATTGATTCGAAGGATCTAATACATTGTTTGTTTACATTTCTACATATAAACTTGCTCTTGAACTCATATTCTTAGAAGCTTGGCCGTCAAACTTAGAGTGCAATGGACCCACTTAAAAGTCTCAAGGAGGGTTTTATTGAAAGCAAGGGCTGGCCTGTTTTTCCTGCATATAGAGTTTCAAAAGCGGCAATAAATGCATATACAAGGATTCTAGCCAAGGAATACCCCAACTTCCGCATCAATTCTGTCTGCCCCGGCTATGTCAAGACAGATATAAACTTCAATACCGGCATCTTGTCCGTTGTAGAAGGTGCTGCAAGTGTTCTGAAGTCAGCATTGCTGCCCAGTGATGGCCCTTCTGGCCTCTTCTTTGTTCGGTCTGAAGTATCATGTGCATGATTGAAGCTGATCAATTTGTGCTAATACATTTCATTTGTTGGGGCAGCATCTTGGATTTTCAATGTAACAAAGTATATTGTTAAAATTTATATGTAAATCAGTGATGTGACAAGTTTGTTTGTTAACTAAAATGGATGCATGCTCATTAATTTCTATCTTTAGAAATCTTCCCTAGATTGGTTTATTGTTCTTCTCCAAATTTGACCAATAATCTCCTTAATTTTTTTTAGGTTGTGAAAATATTAAAATATTAAAATATTCAAAATTAATAATAGCATCTTGATATTTTAGCCACTAATGTTTTTAATGCGTCAATTACATATTGACCTGAAGAACAGAGTTTCTATTTTGAATGAACTGAATAAACTAGACAATAAGATCGCGTGCTCTCCAAGAAATCAGAAGGCTCGGCACTTCCTGGAACTGGTCAACAACTAGTTCTTGTTCAAAACCCGACCTCGTTGCGGCTTTGGCGGCATAGGCAAGTTCTTAATGTCCAGAATTTGAATTTTCTTTCTCTTGTTTTGCAACTCTTGATAGCTTTGGTGAAGCTTTTTCTTACTGTTCTCCAACTTCTCTTCATCATCCCAATCTCGCCGATGATGAAGATGATGAGTAGATTTTGTGGGCCCCTTAGGGTTTTGTTGGCTCTCCAAAAAATCAGAAGGCTCTGGGCACTTCCTCGAACTGGTCTTGCTCAAAACCCGGCCTCGCTGAGGCTTAGATGGCAAAGGCAAGTTCTTGACCTCTAGAAGTTGAATTTTCTTTCTCCTGTTTTGGAACTCTTGGTAGCCTTGGTGAAGCTTTCGCTTGCTATTCTCCAACTTGTCTTCATCGTCCCAGTCTTGCCGTCGATGATGAGCATCAGATTTTCTTGGCCCCGTAGGCTTTTGTTGACAAGAAGATGGAGGTGGTGCGCTTAGCATAAAGCGGAAGGTCTCCAAATCCTTGCCTTTGCCATGAGATGGTGGTTTCTTGGGCTTCTGGAGAATTGCCAAGTCGCGCTCATCAAGTTTGATGTCGTCATAGACAACGTCAACGTCAACAGGAGGCTCTCGCTCGCATTGCTGCTCCTTCAAAGCCTGATCGCAAACAAACTTCATGTTGTCTGAAAGAGAAAAGATTATAGCAAAATTAGGAAACCCTAAATCACAGTAGCTAGTGTTTACAAAAGCCTCACGCTACACACGTATATGTAGTTTCCTGTTTCCTAATCTCATTGGGAAAACGAATATTTTATTCAAATTAATTATAATGTACTTTTAAATTTTTATTAGACATAAGAAATTAAACCAACCAAACAAACCCTTAAGTTGCCAACTCACGTTTAGAATTATCTTATCTTGCCCGATATCCTTGGGCTGAAATTAGCTTGGGTCCCAAGTGTTCTGTTTTCTCCTGATAGGACAAGAATTAAATACCCTAATCAAGAATTAAATACCCAAGTTTTTTGTTTCTTTTTTTCATGCCAGGGTTCTATTTCACTTGAGTGTTACTACTTCCATTTCTTACTACTAAACCAAGTATTACTATTTCTAATTATAAAATTAAAAAAATTATAGGAAATTCATTTTCATGTATATATATATATAGGAAAATATTATCTTACTACTAGAGTTCACAAATATATAAATATATTTATATAATCAGGGGAGGCTCTAGAGCCTCCAAGCTCATTCCAGTTTTTATATATACCCATTATGATACTATATATAAAATTAAAATATAAAAATATAAAAATTATACATGTTTAAACTTTGAAAAAGAAACTTCTTAACGATAAACACTTTTTCGCTTTACCAATTATTTTTCAATAATTCAATGAAGGCTGAAGTCCGAGCTATTAAATAAGTGTGGTGATTGAGGATTTCTTTTAGTTTTGAATTTCTTGCTTTGTCTGTTTTGGGAAATTAGTCTAGAATTTACATTTTCAGTCACGATCTTGAAGAATTTTTTGGTGTACATATGTACGTAAATATGTCTTATTATACTAGAATTTGAGATTTGATCAAGAATTTGATAAAGTTTGTTTAGATAAACTGTAATTTATATTAATTTACAACTGAAAATAAAGCGCTAATAAAACAAAAATACTGAAAATCTCCATCAATCAAGCATGTAGGTTATTTATTTACTTTCTTGTAGTGAAAATATTTAAATATTCGAAACAATATGGCATTAATAATAGCATCCCGATATTTTAGCCACTAGTGTTTTTAATGCGTCAATTACATATTGACTTGAAGAACACAGTTTCTATTTTGCCGCGTTTACACTATTTTACTTTCATACTCTCTCTCCATCAAGATATTCATCTGATTTAGTTACCGTTGGAGTTGGACTGAAATTAGCTTTGGTTCCCAAGTTTTCTAAGCACGCCTCTTCTCTCTTCTCTGCGAGACCAAGCACCCCTCTTCTCAAATTCTTCTCTTCTCTCTCTTCCCCTCTCTCCTCGCTCTTCTCCTCTTCTCTCTTCTCCTCTCTCCTCTCTCTTCCTCCATCCCCTTAGTCTCTACATCAGAGAAGTTCACTTTGACTTTCATTGAACAAAATATAGAGGGTTCTATCTTCAGCTATCCGTCGCAACAAAACACTCGCAAATAAAGCATTGATTTTTAACAGATACAGACCTATTTCATCCCCTTCAACCCCACTTCTAACTTGGACTTGAACAACACATTGAAAATTACCCAAACAGGTCAAGATTCTATTAGATATGAGTTATCTTCTTCGTTTGATTAGGATTTTGCTTCTGGGAATAGACTGTTTGATTAGGATTTTGCCTCTAGTTATAGACTTTTTGCAAAATTTGAGGGGTTCTCTTCGATTTGAGGAAAAAAGTTGGAATTATTGTTAATAAAAAAAATTAAAATAAAATTTTGATTTATTAAAAAAAATAAAGTTAATTTCAGTCTGTTGTTTGGTGCAAGAATGAATAGGACATGGCTCAAAACCTACCCAGCCAAGCCAGCCTAATCCAATGCTTCAAAGCCTATCCTAACCAGTCCAAGTCAGCCCACCAAACGGGGCCTAATCGGACAAGGACTGTATGAGAGATTATATAGGGATAGCAAACCCATCTCACTTTTCGCTACTTTGTTTTTGTTGTTCACTTTCACTTCATAGTTCACTTCATTCAATATCTCATCAACTAGAACAAAGATTTCCCTTTTAGAGTAAACCCTGATAACCCTTTTTGGTTCTCTACCAATTTGTTTTGTTGATCATGGCTTCTTCTTCACTGGGTTCTTTCAATCTCTCAAGTAGGAGCAAAAGAGAAAGAGATGAAGCATAAGACGAAGGGAAGATAGGGTATTTGACAATGGAAGATTTTAAAGGCATAAATTTTTATCCTTTGTGTCCTTATTATGATCAACTGACATTGGTTGCCACTGTTCTTTTTGAAAAAACTGAGCAGGAGAAACAATTGAAGAAGGAGGAGCACCAGAGAAGCACCACAAGTTGCTTCTTCTTCTTCTCCAAATGCATCACCCTATTTTCATCCCTTGGTCTTGAAAGAAATCTAAAGCAAGGGATGAAAGGCTGCTGCAGACACATATATTTGCAAGCTTATATTGTAATATATATTGTTCACAAGGAGCAGTGGATTTACCCTGCCTGCTGGATATGTAAGGTAAGTATATAACTTTACAATCAATTACAAGTAATTGCATAATCAAGATCCCTATAATTAGTCACTTTCCTGTATTAGAGTCAGTGGCCTCCTTTGGCTTATCACTGCCCCTGCCCCCCCTCCCCCTCCTCAAGCAAAGTGAGCGAGGAATAAAGTGAAGCTTGGAGATCGAGGACGAGAAACGAAGCAATGACAACCCCTTAGTGAAGACATCAGCAATTTGATCCAGAGAAGCCACAAAACCAACATGTAAGGCTTGAGCAACAACCTGTTCACGAACATAATGATAGTCCACATCAACATGACGATTCCTTGCATGGAAAAAGGGATTAGAAGCAAGAGAAATGCAGCTAATATTATCACTCCAAAGCTAAGGAGGAGACAAAGGTTGACGCAAGTCAGCAAACAAAGAACGAAATTAGGATAAAGCACCAGCTGTGTAGGCAAGTTGACGGTATTCGACCTCCTACTTGAGCGAGAAACACCATGCATGTTTCTTAGAGCTCCCACAAACCAAATTGGAACCCAAATAAATGCACTACCCACCAATGGATTTACGATCACCAACATAATCAGCATTAGAAAAGGCCGTCAAAGCCATAGGACTCGACTGATAGACAAGGCCATCAGCTTAAGTGAACTTTAAACAATGGAGGATCCGTTTGATAGCAATCCAATGAAGAGTGGTAGGACTATGCATAAACTGATAGACCTGGTTAACAACAAAAGCAATATTTGGGCATGTTAAGGTGAGGTACTGAAGGGCCCCAACAACACTATGGTACTTAAAGACATCCGAGAAAGGTTCATCATCCAAAAGGCTAAGACGTTGACCAAAGAGAAAAGGTGTAGACACAGGCTTGCAATCAATCATATTATTCTTCTTGAGTAAATCCAAAATATATATACTTTACAAGGAGCAGTGGATTTATCCTAGTTGTTGGATACATAAGGTAAGTGTATAACTTTACAATCAATTACAAGTAATTACATAATCAAGATCCCTATAATTAGTCACTTTCCTATATTAGCATTATTACCAGTAACCAGAGTGTCATCAACATAAATCAACAGATAAATGACAATTGAGGCATCAATAAATATAAAGAGAGAAGAATAAGCTTTGGAGGCAACAAAACCCGATGTCAGCAAATGAGAAGAAAAACATTGAAACCATGTATGAGGAGCCTGTTTAAGGCCATAAAAGGATTTGTTAAGGCGACAAACATAATCAGGTTTATGAGGATCAATAAAACCAGATGGCTGACGCATATACACATCCTTTGTCAAAGAACCATGTAGAAAACCATTTTGAACATCCAGCTGACGAATAGACACTCAAAATAATTATGGTTTAAAACTGATATATTTATTCTTCTCTTAAGGAGGAATATATATACTACATACAGAGTGGTTACAAATAGGAAATATGTACAAAATCTCCTAATTATACTCAAATTAGATAATTATAATAAAATATAAATTCTATTCCTAATAGGAACGTTGACTCACGCCAACACTCCCCCTCAAGTTGGTGCATAGATTTCGGTAATTCCCAACTTGTCAAGTGAGTCTTCAAATCGGCATGGGTCAACATATCTGCAAGCTGCTCTGAAGAATGCACAAAAGGTATAGAAATTAACTTATGCTCCAGCTTCTCCTTAATGAAATGTCGATCAACTTCTACATGCTTAGTTCAATCACGTTGCGTCGGATTATTAACAATTTCAAATGTAGACTGATTATCACAGTGGAGCTTTGTAGCAGCATTCGGTCTAAACCTAATTTCAGCAAGTAACCACCTCAACCACAGTATTTCACAAAACCCTTGGGCAATCCCTCTGTACTCAAACTCTGCAGAGGACCGAGACACAACATTTTGCTTATTGCTATGCCACGTAACTAGGTTACCACCAACAAAGGTGAAGTAACCTGATGTAGAACGTCTATCTGTAATATTCCCTGCATAATCTGCGTCAGTGTAACCTTCTAGATCCAAGTGACCATTTTTCTCAAATAATAAACCTCTCCTAGGAGCAGACTTTAAGTAACTCAGAATACGCATCACAATAGCCATATGATCCTCACTAGGTGAATACATAAATTGGCTAGCAACGCTTACAACATAGGCAATATCAGGGCGTGTCAATAATGAATAAATCAATCTCCCAACCAACCTTTGGTATCTTTCTCTGTTAGTTGGGACCTGATCCACGTAAACACCAAGTTTATGATTCTCAACAATAGGTGTATCAGCTGGTTCAATGGCGAAGCCATGATTTCATGTGTGTGGGGGCCTCTTACAAAACATAAAGAATCAAAAATTCGAACTCATAATACATACAAAAAATAGTGTATATATATATCACATATGTCAAGAATTATGTCGCTTATTGGTTGCAATCATGATTGTTCTCGACAAAGGGATAGAAAAATACATTCTAACCAAGAAAAATTGCAAGAGATAGACAAAGAGTAGCGATTTAGCAAATATCTTTAAAGCTTTTTCCCCATTAAATCCAATAGAAAGGAAAAAAAAATGAAAATTTCCCAAATTAAAAACAACCTTAGGCCCCTTTATGCATTCATATCATACATGAAAAAATATTGACTAAGTATAAAAAATGGTTTTTCGGAATAATCATTTTTTCAAGATAATTTTTGGTGGCTTTTATTCCTTACACATGAAATAAGAAAACTTGATTTTATGGGATTTTAGTATGAAGTATATATTGACTTAATGAGCCATCATTTTTAGCATAAATCGTATTTTACACTAAAACCGATTTTTCATATTTTGACTTGGTGAGAATTTGATTTTCTAGTATTTTTATTTGAATTCAAATAGGGGGTACTTCCTTATTTACATTGTAAACTTAAGTAAATGGAGTAATATAAAAATAAATTAAAGTCAAAGGACAAAGACATTTACTTAAATGTTGAAAATGGAAATAAGGTAATCTGTACACCTAGAGTGCATCACCACTAGCTGAGCAAGGGCGCAATTTGAACTACCTCATTGTGCCTTAATAAATCTGCCACAATACATGTGGGTACATATCAAAACATAAAATATTTGAAATAATATACATATACAAATATATAACAGTATATTACTTTTAAAATATAAAAAAACTTGAGTGGGGGCCAAGGACCACACTGGTCCCAGTGTGGCTCCGCCCTTGAGCTGGTTTATAATCAAGCATTCCTGTATCTGCTAGCAGGTCCATGACATACTTCCTTTGTGAAAGAAATAAGCCATGTTTAGATCGAGTGACTTCCACTCCTAGAAAATATTTCAGATTGGCCAAATCTTTGATCTCAAATTCCGATGCTAAACATTTATGCAGTTCCTCGATTTCTATAGTATCATCACCAGTCATAATCATATCATCAACATAAATAATCAGCAAAGTCACCTTCCCAACCCTATGTTTAATGAATAGAGTATGATCAGTATTGGCCTGTCGGTAACCAAACTTCTTCATAGCTGTGGTAAATCTGCCAAACCATGCCCGAGGAGACTGTTTTAACCTGTACAGTGCCTTTTTCAATTTGCACACGTTCCTTGTTTCACCGGTAACCCTATACCCTGGTGGAAGACTCATGTACACTTCTTCTTCTAGTTCACCATGTAAGAATGCATTTTTTATATCAAATTGCCTCAGGGTCCAATCCAAGTTTACTGCTAAGGACAACAAAACTCTAACAGTATCCATCTTAGCCACATGTGCAAAAATATCATGATAATCAACTCCATATGTCAGAGTGAACCCTTTAGCTACTAATCTTGCCTTGTACCTCTCCATAATACCATTTGCATTATATTTAACTGAAAACATCCATCTGTATCCTACGGGCTTCGTTCCTTTTAGTAGATTAACAATGTCCCATGTATTATTTTTTTGCAACGCCTCCATTTCAATATTCATGGCTTCAGCCCACTTTGGATCATTAAATGCCTCCTCAACATGGGTTGGAATTTTAATATTATCCATTCTGGTCACAAACGCTTTGCACTCAGGAAATAACCTGTGATCAGACACATAATGGGCAATCGCATATCTCGCTTTGCCTTTTGTTGAGTAATGATAAGGTGGAACCCCACGGTTCCATCTAGGTGGTAAAATATAAGAATTATCAGAAGTATGAATTGAAGCACTTACCTCAGGAATATCCAGGGGAGCTTGATCGGGAACTATTAGAGAAGCTTCATGGGGGGCAATCGGTTCAGTGACAGTAGTGACATCAGTTAAAATAGCAGGTTCAGCTAGCGTAGCAGGTTAAGTCCCACTAGGCGTGCCAAAATTATGTTGGTCCTTTTTTCCTCCTTTCGCCCTTTTACCAACCGCGGGGGTCAATTCAGCTCTGAAGGACAGAGGCGAAGCTGGCGGATCAACACCAATGCCCCGATCGAATGGTGTCTCTTGGCTCGCGGAGAGGACTTCTTCAATTTTTGAACAAAATTGAAAGTTGAATCAGTTGCCAGAGCGAACGGACCTGATGAGGCCTTGTCGAACAGCTCTTTTTGATACTGACTCTTGTTGCTGCGTAGTCGTGCCACTATTGGGTATACGACCAACCCAATAGATCTGGTATGAATGAAAATGATGGATGCTTGTGGAGTTTGCGCTCTCTATCTGGACTCCTTATCAGGCCATCGTGCTCCAGGGGGGGTACTGGCCTGGATGGGTTCTTTTCTGCGCCTCGGTTAGGAGGACTTCAATATTCTTTTCTTCGTGAATATCACCCTGACAAGTGTGAGCAAAACCTGAACAGGAAATAGAGTAAGACTAAGTTTGTGATTAGTAAAGACCCTGCCTGGGCTTTATTAACCTATTTCAATGTATTTCTCTTTTTCGGACTAAGTTAGTAATTAATTCAGGTCTGACAATACAATGTTCAGACCCAACTCAACCCCATGTCCTTTTCTTTACTGTATCGTTCGGGCCCTTACTTCTTCTCGGGCCCGAATATCATTTTTTCTGGTTTTTCAAAGAATAGGATGGCGGGAATCCGATTTTAAATATTAAAACTATTTAAAGCTTGTTTTATCATATAATAATTAGAATTTAACTGCCGAATCTTCCACAAGTTATATGTTACTTAGCATTTCAAACTAAACCACAAGAGATTCTTTGGTTAATTAATTAATTTGTTCTCAAATTCAAGCAACGAAGTAAAGATAAAAAGGGGCTAGAGATTTCTCAATCCAGTCCAGAGATTACATGAATTGAAACGATATACATATTGAAAGAAAATCATACCATGGACATGGCAGAGCTACAAGAGATAATCACAGTATTCGTCGATTGGATATCTTAATGAGAAAGTAGGCAGATTGTTATCTTGAGAGAGTTTTTGAAGACTTTTCGTCTGGTTTTTAGAGAGAGAGTCCCTTTTTTTCTGAAGTAGACCCTTATTATTTATAGAGGAGGAATGAACTTGTAATGATAGAAACCACGACAAGATCTTTGGCTTGTAGTTCAAGGTCAACTGCTAGTTCGTTCATCTTAACCAGTTCATAGAAGGAATGATGGAGGATTTCTGGCAAGGACTGCCGGTTCCCTTCTTGGGGCTTTCTTGATTTGACTTCCTGTACTCAAAAACCTGGCTGGCAATTTTGATCTTCTGGTTTTGGGGCTTCAGTACGACTTGCTTTCTTGCTAGGCGAGTAAGAAGTCAATTCATTATTAAATGTGATAATCTCCTTCGGCCTCCCACGTGGGTTCAGAAAACACACTTACCAATTTTTGACGTGTAGCATGGGATATAGGCCTTTCCTGACCTTGGGCCTTTTTATTTATTCATTCAAAGAGGCCCAATTGTGAGAAGGGTGGTTTTTCTGAGATAGGTAAGTGCTAATGGGCCTCACTCCATTTTTAAAATATCTTTCAAACCGTGTGACCACTTTTGGCCCGTCTACCAAAATTGGGTACAAACACACACATGCTTCAGCTAACTCATAAGTTTGCACTACTACATTTTTCACTTTGCGCGACGAAGAGAATTTCGTCGCGCAAAATACATTATAGTCGCACAAATTTTAGCGCAACAGAAACTTCGTCGCGCAGATTCCGTCGCGCAAAGATCGTGGAGAAAGACTTTGCGCGACGAAACTTTTTCATTCGTCGCGCAAAGGGAATTTGCGCGACGAAAAAATATTGGTCGCTCAAAGTGACTTTGCGCAACGAAACATATTGGTCACGCAAAGTGACTTTGCACGACGAAACATATTGGTCGCTCCCAAAGTCACTTTGCGCGACGAAAATATTGGTCGCGCAAAGCGACTTTGCGCGACGAAAAAATATTTGTCGCGCAAAGCGACTTTGCGCGACGAAAAATATTGGTCGCGCAAAACATTGCGCGACGAAAAAATTTTCAAAAAAATTTTAAAAAAACAATTCCCGCGTCCCATTTTTTGTACCCGCCCAAATTTTTAGAGTTTTGCGCGACGAAATATTTTGGTTTTTGAATTTTTGTTTTATTATTTCTTTAATATTAATTTAATTATATTAATTATTTCAAATTTTTAATTTTTAAATTTAATTTAATTGTATGATTTTTTTCATTACTTTAATTTAAATTGATATTAATTTAATTATATTAATTTATTCAAATCTTTACTTTTTAAATTTAATTACTTTAATTTAAATTGACATGTTCAAAATAAAATTACATATGAAAAATAGTGATCAAATTATCCAATAAATATATATAATATTCAAAATGTACACATAAATTCACAAAGTACAATAAAAAAAAGGGATAATCTCCCCTAAAATTGTTATACCACAAATCCAACCCAAACTCCAATCCCTCCCCTTTACTCAACCCCAAACCCCACACAAACTCAAAACTAACTCCAAAAACACATATTAATGAAAAAAAAATTAAAATTTGGAGAGAATCTACCTTTTGGCAAGATTGAGAGTGAGTGAGAATGAGAGAGAGAAATGAGTGTGAGAGAATTAGAGAAGATAGTGATAGAGAGATGAGAGAGTGAGTGAGAGTGAGAGATAGTGAAAAGAGAGATGAGAGAGTGAGTGAGAGTGAGAGATAGTGAAGAGAGAGATGATGAGAGATTAAGTGAGAGGAGTGAGTGTGAGAGAAATGGTGGGATTTGGGGAGAGGGAAAGAGAGAGGAGAGGAAAGAGTAGAGAAAGACAATGAGAAAATGGTGGAGGAGTTATTTTCATTTTAAAAACCGTATCACTTTGCGCGACGAACGACATTGTTGGTTGCGCAAAGTTTTTGCGCGACGAAAAATATTGGAGTATTGGTTGCGCAAAGTTTTGCGAGACGAATATTAGTATATTGGTCGCGCAAAGTCAAAAAAAAACAATCGCGCGTCCCATTTTTGGTACCCGCCCAAATTTTGAAATTTTGGCGCGACGAAAAATACATATTGGTCGCGCAAAGTCTAAAAAAATTATATAAAAAAATTCCCGCGTCCCATTTTTGGTACCCGCCAAATTTTTGCGTGACGAAAATATATATTGGTCTCGCAAAGTCTAAAAAAAATTTTTTTTTCATCCCGCATCCCATTTTTGGTACCCGCCCAAATTTTTAAAGTTTTGCGCGACGAATTGTTGGTCGCGCAAACTTTTGAGAGACGAAAAATTGGTTCGTAGCACGATATTTATAAAAATAATTGTTATGAATAATAAAATTATTTTTTTTACTATTTAAAATATAAATAAGGTTAAAGCTACTTAATAAATGTATATACCAATTTCTTAAGTGTTATACGTACAAAATAAATAAATTTAAAGCTACTTAATAAGTAAATAAATATATATATATATATATACACACACCATTCAACGATCCAACCTTCAGACTTGTTTGTATATACTTCAAGATCGTATACCCCAAAAATCGTAAAAAAACAAACATTCGGAGACCTAGTAACGGGACAAAAAATTTCAATGGTTCTTAATGAAAAATCACGATTTAACGGTTATTTTAACTCCAATTTTGATGATTTTTTACAGCTACACTCCTTGACCCTATATGAATACAATGAACTAATTCGATCGTCAATTTAAAATATTTACACTAGTGGATACCACAAAATCTTATGTTATATTTAACATAAGTATAAATAAACTCTTAATTGTTAGAGAATATATTGTTTTGATGGCATACACATTCAACAAAACTAGTTTCAACGATCCAACCGTCAAACTTATTTGTTTATACTTTGAGATCATATAAGCCAAAAATCGCAAAAAATAAATATTCAGAGATCAAGTAACGGGACAAAACTTTTCGACGGTTATAAATGAAAAATCTTGATTCAACGATTATTTTAACTCCGATTTTGATGATTTTTTACCGCTACACTCATTTACCCTATATGAATACAATGACTGAATTTGATCTTCAATTTAAAATATTTACACTAGTGGATACCACAAAATCTTATGTTATATTTAACAAAAGTATAAATAAACTCTTAATTGTTAGTGAATATATTGTTTTGATGGCATACGCATTCTACGAAACTAGTTTGAACGATCCAACCGTCAAACTTTTTTGTTTATACTTCGAAATCATATAAGCCAAAAAACGCAAAAAATAAACATTCAGAGATCAAGTAACGGAACAAAACTTTTCGACGGTTATAAATGAAAAATCATGATTCAACGGTTATTTTAACTCCGATTTTGATGATTTTTTACCGCTACACTCCTTTACCCTATATGAATACAATGACTGAATTTGATCTTCAATTTAAAATATTTACACTAGTGGATACCACAAAATCTTATGTTGTATTTAACAAAAGTATAAATAAACTCTTAATTGTTAGTGAATATATTGTTTCGATGGCATACGCATTCTGCGAAACTAGTTTGAATGATCCAACCGTCAAAATTGTTTGTTTATACTTCGAGATCATATACGCCAAAAATCGGAAAAAATAAACATTCAGAGATCAAGTTATTGGACAAAACTTTTCGACGGTTATAAATGAAAAATCACGATTTAACGGTTATTTTAACTCTGATTTTGATGATTTTTTATAGCCACACTCTTTGACCCTATATGAATACAATGAACTAATTCGATCGTCAATTTAAAAAATATATTTTCTAACAAAGACCCAATCCAAACAACAATAATATATTTTTCTAACAAAGATTTTAAAAAATAATTTATTTATTTTTATAAGGACTTTGCACGACGAAGTTAATTGTTTTGTCGCGCAAAGTAGCTTTGCGCGACGAACTGTTTTTCGTCGAGTGACGAATTTTTTTTCGTTGCGCAAAGTTACTTTGAGCGACGAATTATTTTTCGTCGCGCAAAATTTGGTCGCGCAAGACTTTGAGCGACAACGTATTGTCGTCGCGCAAAAGTTGGTCCCGCAAAGTCACTTTGAGCAACGAATTATTTTTCGTCGCGCAAAAGTTGGTCGCGCAAGGTTTTTAGCGACTAAGTTTTGAGTTTCGTCGCGCAAAGTGTCTTTGCGCGACGAATAATTTTTCGTCGCGCAAGGGTTATTTTGTAGTAGTGTTGAGTCATTATTTCACTCCAATTTACTCGTACACCATCCTGCATCAAAGAAAAGATTGCATTTAGCTAGTCCATTTTTAAAATGAAAGATTTGTATTTGAAATTTATGTATGAAAGGTTTTAATCTGATCCACATATAATTTGGACTCTTTAAGATGCTAAAGGAAAACTTACCTTACCAATACCAAGATATCTAGTTTCCCAAATTAGGTTTTGACAAAATCTGCAAGGGCAGCAATGCTAGCAGTGTCTGCTACATTCAGGCTAATGAAAACCACTAGGTGAGAGGCCACACTTCTTTCAATTTTTCAATAGCTTCAAGGTCCATTTTCTCATCTAAAGCAATTAACACCACCATGATCCCATTTGAAGCCAACTTTCTAACTTTTCCAAATCGATCCCCCGATTTGAACCTGTAACAACTGCATACCTGAAATAAAAAGAAAAGAGAAAAGGAAAAATGGTATTAAAATTTAATGAAATATGGGTTGTGGTGGCCAAGGAGTCTGATAGAAGTGAAGCTTAAAAACATCATGGAAGCAGCAGGTAGTACTTCTTTGCTACTTCTGCCATTGTTGATGGGATTCTAGATTTGCTTTTTGATTTCTGCATGACCATATAACATGGGCTTTGTTTCTATAGTCGTGACCTAGGCCATCGAGAATATACTCGATAAGCTCTTCATCTGTCATTTGAGATCCAGCCGCAACAAGAGAATCATAGAGGGATTTGTCATGCATCAAGTACTCAGCAACCGTGTTTTCTGATTCTTTCTTCAAGGTCCTTATTTGATCTCGCAGGTTACAAACATAAGTCTTAGAGAGAGGAGAGAGTCTCTTATCAAGGAGAGACCATGCTTCTGATGCTGTCGTACAAGGAATAAGGAAAGTTTTGATTTGTGGAGATGAAGTGGCCTTGATCCAACTCAACACAAGCCTGTCTTTGGAGTAGGCGGGGTTGATGGAGCCATCTGCTAGTTTCTTGTCAGGTTGTCCATCACTTTTCACAACTTCCTCGGGGTCATGAATCTCTAGGATATCCTGAAATTGAGACTTCCAGCACAAATAGTTATTACGATCCATGGGTGTAAAGAAAAGATGAGAGAGAATATGAGAAATATTGAATGAGGTAGGGAGTGATGATGTTTGGCTGGTCATGGTTGTGGATGAATTGTTTTGTGAGATTAGGGATTCTACAGAAGGGGAAATAGAAGAAGATTGCGTGGGAGTCATAGAATCCACAATCGAGTGGCTTTAGCCCAGATTGGCTCTGATACCATATAGAAGAATTAGAACAGTGAAGAAGAATTAGAACAAAGCAGATATTTGGGGAATAGCACGATGACTATTGATTTCTATTCATGCTTGCTTTATACAATTACAATTTGACTATTGATACAACACATATGGTAATATTAGAAGGTAACAATATAACAAAGATTACAAGAGATTGATGTAATTCCTGAAATCACGTATGATCAGTAGAGTGATATGAGGATGAGGAATTCAATCTGATGTCGTGGTGATTGGATGTAATATTAGCATGATTGTATGCATCATTAGTGATGTTCTCTTCAAATGAAGCCAAAGCTTGCACACAAACATGCGTCGGACGATGGTTTTAATTGGAATTTTGTTGAAAATCTCCTCTAAAATGTGGTTTGGAAGTTGGAGAATGCAGGGATTATGATCCCCTTTTTGCTTCTTCTTCATGGATGAAACTCTGTCGGTTTTTATTCCTATGGAAAGGAAGGAAGCCTTGCGGAGGCCTAATCCGAGAAGAAGCCATTTGGGTGTGATAGGGTTTAGGACTCCTGGAGGATCGACGACTATAAATCTCCCAAGGCATTCGACGGCTGTAAATCTGCCAAGGTACTCGAAGGTGCAAAAGGAATTTACGGTAATGAAAGCAATAACATTGAAGTTGCTTATTGCTTAGTTTTTTTTTTTTTTTTTTTTTTTTTTTTTTTTTTGTCAGCAAGTATAGAACTTCATTCATCAAAGAATACATTAACATGAATTACATAAATTGTTAGGAATAGCCCAAGAAGGAGGCAATCGTTCCCAAACACATGATTTGTGAGTTTACACAAATCAGCTTGTCTCTGGAACAACCCCAGTATATATGTTAATGTAAATATTCCATGAGCTGAAGAATTTTTTTTGTTTTTATTTGTTAAAAAAATAATAATAATGCTAAAAGACTCCAACAGTATTCAAATGTATAACATAATTCCATTCCGAGGTACCATTCCAATTTCTTCCCAAAAAACTCAACGTTTTCGAGAGTAAAATAGCAGACATGAAGTTTGAAGTTGAACTTGCACAAAACTGGAAAAGACCACACAAATATACATACTTAACTAGCTTTGACATATAATTTAATACTCTCGATCTGATCTGGAGATCGCGCTCTAACCCCTGATAATATGTCTAGGCGAAACAAAGCTTGGAATAAGGACATGTGCATCAACAAAGTGTCCTGTCCCCTCAAGCTCAACGTCCACAAAACCTTTCCAAGAAGCATAAGCCATCAATTTCCCACGAATAAGCAACAAGACTTGCCCATCCTCAAACTTGAAAACATGAGTTGAAGGAGATCCAATCATAACAATTTTAAGCTCTAGGCTCCAAGACTCCTTAACCCCATACTCCTTCATCACCCAAATACTCATCATGTCCTCCGGTCCTACAGTTACAGTTACAGTTACAGTTACAGTTACAGAGAGACAACCCCTCAAGACCCTACAGTCCAATCTAGATCTAGTCCTTCCTTCCAAATCCCAACCATGGGTAAGGGAAAACCTTGAAAATCCTCACTTTCAAGATCAAAGGCAAATATCACAACCCTTGACCAATCAATCCAATGAAAAAACCCGCTAAGCACAAATCCCATATAATTTGTAATATAAATGGGACGTAATATTCCCAACGCTTCTCCATGCGCCAAAGCCAACAGACAAAACCAATACCTTTGTTTCCGGTTCACAAGGCCATCAACGTCGACACCTGAACCGAACAACCTTATAAGCACCACTCATGGGGACTAAACCCAAAACCACGGGGAACATTACTCATGTTTTCACTACGCGGTGTTGGAAGAGCTAAAGACTCACCAGTGATGGGATTGGATACGTAGAAAGAGTCACTCTTGTTGTTTCTATAATTGTATTTGTATAGGCAGAGGAAGCCGTTGCACAAACCCACAATATTCACGCCAACAGTAGTACTAGTTAGCACAATCCGATCTCTACAAACCTTCAATGCTATGTCATTTGGGCTAGGGGCGGCAGGGTGACCACCTCGATCTGGCAGCCGTATATGTCATCGGAACAGAAGACAAGTAGTTCGTGAAAAGAGCTGTTCCGTGAATTGGGGGTCTGATATCAAATGACGCCAGAACTTGCAAACGAACAAGCATCGGACGATGGTTTGAATTGGAATTTTGCGGAAGATCTCCTCTATATGCTACAGTTGATGACTTGGTCTGCTTATCCAACCCTAATATCAACCAAAATTTATCTGAGTATCTTCATACACTTTCTTTCTAAACTTTATCCCCAACTTTCTTTGCAACGTCTATTCCACTTTCTTACGAACTTATTCTAATGAACAGCCTCATGCTTAGATGAAGAACTTGAAGGGGCAAAAGGATTTTATCATAGTTTGGTCTTTTTAGTTTTGCCAGTAAACTATAGAACTCTTCATCCATCAAAGAAAACATTAACATATGAGTTGCTAATGTTGGGAATAGCCCAGGAAGGAGGCAATCGTTCTCAAACACAAGATTTGTTAATCATTAATTGCCAATCCTTCTCATAACAACTCAAATCGAATCGACAATCATGTCTATTTTACACAGATCAGATTGTCTGCAACAACCCCAATATACGTTGACGTAAATATTGAATGAGCTAAAGAAATTTATTTGTTTAACTTGTTTAAAAAAATAGAAACAAGTGCATATAGTTTCAAACTCCAACAGTTCAAATCTATATAACATTATTCCATTCCCATATCTTTCAAAAGCTCAACTTTTCGATAGTAAAATAACAGACATGAAGTTTGAATTGCACACAACAGCAAAAGACCAAATTGAAACTTAACTAGCTTTGACGTATAATAATACTCCCGATTTGATCCGGAGCTGGAGCTCTATCCCCTGATAATATGTTTAGGCGAAACAAATCTTGGAATATGGACATGTGCAGAAATAAAGTATATCCCATCAAACTCAACGTCCACAAGACCCTTCCCAGAAGCATAAGCCAGCAATTTCCCACCATTAAACAACAAGACTTGCCCATCCCCAAACTTCAACAAGACTGGCCCATCCCCAAACTTCAACGAGATTCGCCCATTCCGAAAAAACTGCTGGCAAGGACGTTGAACTACGACGCCTCCAATTGTAAGCTCTAGGCTCCAAGACTCCTTAACCCCATGCTCCTTCATCACCCAAATACTCATTTTTCTCTGGGAATCTACAGTTACAGTTACTGAGAGGCAACCCTGCAAGACGCTAAAGTCCAGTCTTGATATATTATTCCGTCCTTCCAAATCCCAACTAGGGGGTATGGGCAACTCTTGGAAAACCTCTCTTTCAAGATCTAAGGCACATATCAAAGCCCTTGACCAATCAATCCAATGAAGAAACCCACTAACACAAACCCCATATAGCATGTAGTCCAACTTGTAGCTAAAATTCCCAAGGCTTCTCCAAGCCCCAGAGCCAACGGTCAAAACCAATACCTCCCGGTACGGTTCATCATCCCATTGACTTTTAGGCCTGAACCGAACAAGCTTATAGGCACCACTCATGGGACTAAACCCAAACCCACATGGAAAACTAATTATGCACTCATCTAGCGGTGTTGGAAGAGCCAAAGACTCACCCGTGACGAGATTGGATATGTATAAACGGCTATACGGCGGATTCCAAGAGTCTAATTTCTAGAAGCAGAGTAAGCCGTTGCACGAACTCACAATATTCACCTCTTTAGGAAGTACAATTGTATCTTTCAGAAGCTTCAGTGCAACGTCGTTTGGGCCCAAGGAGTCATTTTTTAGGGTGGCCAAATGGTCGGAACCGCATGCTCGTAAAAGAAGACAAGTCGTTCCCGAAAACAGTTGTTCAGTGAATTCGGGGTCTGATAGCAAACGATGCCAAAACTTGCACACGAACCTGCATTGGACAAGGGTTTTAATTTGAATTTTGCTGAAGATCTCCCCTAATATGTGGCTTGGAAGTTGCAGAATGTAGGGAATATTATGATCCTCTTTTTGTTTCTCCATGGATGAAACTCTCTCGTTTTCTCCACTGTCATCATAGATGCTTTTTGTCATGGCTGCAATGCTTTAGGGTTTTAGGGTTTCGGGTACTTTTCATTATATAACCCAAAATTTGGCCCTTACGTTTAAAAATGCAAGTTTTTATAAAATAAAAAAATTTTGATTTTTTTTATTTAAACCCCACACTTCTCTTAGTTCACCCCAATACTTAAATCATTAAGCTGTAAGTTTTATTATTGTGTAAAAAGACAAAAAAGGTCATCCAACTTAATACTTAACCCTAGTACATCTATACACACACCCCCACACACCCCACAACTCTTCAAATTAAGTTTTAAAAAAATACAAACTCTTCTACATCTTATGTCATATTACATTTCTCTTTTAAAGACACAGAACATTGACGAGCCTACCTCTTTGAAATCTACGCGGAACCTGATGGAAAGACTTGTTGATTTTCGCTGTAATGATCTTATTCTCTTCCCTTTGTTGATTGCTTTTTTTTTTTTGGTACTCTTGGCTGTTGATTGCTTGATTGTTTTGATTTTTGATTTAAAATTTATACTTGATGTTTTGGTAAAATTGTTCTCTTTCTCTAGAAAGTATGGGGTAACTTGAATTTTTCTTCATATTATATTAATTGACATACACATTCAAAAGGCACGAAACTAAGAGATTCATGGGAATATTGTTAAGTTGGGTTTTTATTATCCTGCTGAGAAGAGAGAGAGAAGAAGCCCAAGCTTTGATAATGGTCCTACAATTTGCTGGGTTCGTCGTATATCAAAAGACAAGTACTTCTACTTTGGCTATGAGCAATGGATTGCTTTGTCATATCATATAAGTTTTCCAACCTGAAATTTGGTATCTTTCCTTGTTTTAGCTGTGTTTTGATATTGATGCTTGTGTTTTTTTTGTTTTTTTTTTTTTTTTTTTTTTTTTTTTTTTTTAGATTCAAATTAATTCAAATTACTTTGAGTATTAAAAGATTAATACATGCATGAATAAGAATGTTGCCACAACGAACCAATGCACTGCAAAACTCAAGGAAGAATAGGAAGCAACAACAATTTATATCAGTTTGAAACTTGAAGGAATTCTTTTAAGGCCAATTATTCAAATGTCAAACAAGCCACGTGAAGTTTTTCAGTGTAAACCTGAATGGGCTAAGCTTGCGGACTTAAGTTAAATTGTATGTTTATGCACTTGAAAACAAACAATAAATAAGACTCTGAAATATCATCAAAAAAATTAATTTAATACTTACTATTTCTCATGCTCAGAACGTATTTTCTCCTCTAAAGGTAGCTTGTGGGGTTTAAATATGAAATCTCTTTTATTTCTTATTTTTTCAGATTGGGGTGTATTTAAGGGTAGTTTGAGAAGAAAGTGGGGTTTACTTAGAAATTGTGAAAATTTAAATTAAAAGTTGGGGTGAACTTAGAACATGGGGTGAACTAAGAGAAGTGTGGGGTTTAAATAGAAAATCTCATTTTTATTCTTATCATTTATTTTAAAATATTTCAAGCTCTGGTCTTTGATTGCTCTGTATTGTTTGTTGATAGATTCGTTTGTAGATGCTCTCTTGTTTTCTGACTAAACAAATCAAGGTTGATCCAACAAATGAAACAAATTAGCAATAGTATTCTATTGCAAACTTTTCAGCTATATAGTTTTTATGTACGTAATGAATATCTCCAATCTGTGAGCCATCTGATTCCTACATGATCTGTGTAAGTTCTTTGCAATGGCACGATTCACATCCAGTAGTAACAAAACAGTACAGCAGTGAAATTGTACTTTTGAGGTGTAGCATCACCCTGCTAACCCACAAATAAAGAAGTGGAGAATATCGAAGAGCTTAAGCCGCTATGATTAGGCCAATAATTTATATCAAGGTGATGGCCTACTTTGGTCCCATTACACGAGTAATGCAAATGTTTTAAAGAACAAGCAGGATGTTCACAAGCATGTGCAATTAGCAGTTTAGCACTTAGGAATACATGGTTTGATTTGCTTTCTATAATAAAGCATTGTACTTTTGAAGTTCCTGCAATTGAAGATTTAACAATTAAACATATTTTGACATATAGTCTACCTATCTAACACTTAGATGCATTTATAATAAAGACAGTTGCATATTTGCAGACTCCAGGAGGGCCAGGACATGAAATCCTGCTTCAAATTTCCAAGGTGGCTTATCACCAGGTCCCAGCATCATAGGTAGATAGTCTTCTTACGTTGCAAATTCGAAATCATTTTTCTTTCATGAACTATTCTAGGAACATTATTTCATGAAATTGAAAACGCTTTTAGTCAAAATGATGAGACCTCTTTTAAAAGGAAGTAGAGGCCAGAAGGACTGCCCTTGGGAAGCATTGCCAACCTCACAACACTTTCAGCACCTTCATCAATGGTTAATATGCCAGCATTGAAGGTCATATCTGTTTTGACAAATCCAGGGCAGACACAGTTGACGAAAAAATTCGGGTACTTCTTGGCCATGAATCTAGTGTATGCATTCAGTGTTGCTTTTGAAAGTATATAGGCAGAGAGGGAAGGAGGCCAGCCTTTGGTTTCTAGCATTTCTTCTTTGAAGTCTTTGAGAAACTCATTCAAAACATCATCTATTCTCTCTTCTGTAAGTTTCTCAGCATCACTTAACACCCCTTTGGCCCATTCATTTGGGATATTCTGAAACAACACGCAGGCAGGAGAAATTTAGTTTGCTTATAATGTAGAACAAGAAAATTTTGATTGGATACAGAGAACCTGCACCTGCATAAAAATAAGTATAGGTGTTCCATAATTACCATTGATCTCTTGTTAGGCCATAACTACAATATGCCTCAAATGAACAAAGAAACAAAAGGGTTTATTAAGTTCTTAAATCCTATGAGGATCCCGAAAATATGAAACTCTTCATACCTTTAATGTTGCCACGGTAGAAGTAAGATTGATAATTCTTGGTGTATCAGATAGCTGGAGGAGGGGAAGGAGTGCTTTGGTCATTTTCTTGGCACCAAAGTAGTTTGTTTTCACACATTCTTCAGCCAACTCATACGTTTGAGTCATTAATTCACTCCAGTTGACTTCTACTCCTTCCTGCATCAAGCAGAAGAAAATTTATATGCTATCTTCGTTGTAATTATATGTTCTTATGCAGTCCAAACATTGGATCTTTAAATAATTCACAATTACTTACTGATCAACTTACCTTACCAAGACCTGAAGCTGCAGCAGCTCTCATAGCTTCAGGGTCTACAATGGTTCCACCAACCCCTGCATTGTTTACCTGTGGAAGTTCCAATACTTCTAGTTTTCGGTACATTTATCCCAACTAAAATCATAAAATCAACCAAGTAAAATTGTAACATCTATCCTGTTAATTACTTTGTGATTTCCTGTCTTTACAGTTGAATTATGCTAGGTTAAGCTATAAACCTAAAATTTAGAAGTTACATAGTGGAAAAATAAAGTTTACCATATTGAATTAGACTGCTCCAGATCAAGTTTTAGCATTTATTTCTTCTGTCAATATATTAATATAAGTTAACAGCATATATTCTATGACAAGAGCATGAACAAAGAGATGCAGAAGTTGATTATACCAAGATATCTAGTTTCCCAAATTGGACTTTGACAAAATCTGCAAGGGAAGCAATGCTTGCAGCGTCTGTTACATCAAGCTGATGAAACACCACAAGGTCTGAGAGGCCAAACTCTTTCAATTTATCAACAGCTTCAAGACCCCTCTTCTCGTCTCTCGCAGTTAACACAACTATGACCCCATTTGAAGCCAACTGCTTAACTGTAGCAAATCCAACCCCCTTATTAGCTCCTGTGACCACTGCATACCTGATGTAGGGGACTTTTTCTTCCTGCAGCTAACGGGCTGGGCTGCTGCAAAAGGTGGACTGAGGAGATTGCCCCTTTTCGTTTAGGTTCGAAAATTAAGCCTCAAAATACCTCGAAAGGGCAGCGAAACCTTAGGAGATATTTTGAGTAATCTTCACCAATGAGAATAATAGTGACTTACAGATAATTTTTGCATGCTTTCAGATGGATTTTAGGCTCAGCATGAGTGGCATGAGGCATGGAGAGCAAAACCAACATGGGTTTAGCACTAAGAGAGAAATTAGGCTTGGTTTATGAGGAATGAAAGTGTTTAAGTAAGGAATGGGGTGTTTTGTGAGGAATTTTGGCTAGAAAAAGAGAAAGAGAGAGACAGGGTTCTTCCAGCAGCTACCAGAAGAACAAATTGGAGAAGAAGATGAACAGTGCACGAATCTAAGTTTTGCAAGATAGAGAGAAAAGCTTGCTCTCTGCAGGTTGTGAGTTGTGTTTGTTGGGTAGGGGAAGGCTTAATTTATAGCTGCCGGAAATCACCATTTTTCAAGAAACCCTAATGGCTCCTTCTTACTTTGGCTGAGATTTTCTTCCTTTCTCCTCCCCTTCTCTGACTTCCCTTTCTTGGCAAAGATGGCTTCTGTCTATCTTCATGAATTTAGGAGATTTTGGGGCTCAACATCCCTCTTTCCCGCGGCTACGCAGTGAGGGCTTCCACTCTTAGTTTGCTGTTTTTCTTCCTTTTCTTTCTTCTTCTTTGGCTGAATCTGATGAAGGAAAGGAGGTGCAAATGTATGCTGGTCCAAGGGATGCTTCTGACAGCATGCAGGATGGTATTCATCGGTTCTTTGGATGTCTCTGGCTTGGGACTGGTTTCCAGCAGCTTACTTAAGGAGCCTGCCATCTACTCCTTCACGTGTTCTCTGTTTTTCAAAAAAAAGGCTGAAGCTCTTGTGGGCCTTTTTGGGTTTTTCTAAGGGCCAAGATGGCTTTCTTAAGCGAATGGGCTTATTGGGCTTGATTTGGGTTTATTATTATTTTTGGTTGGGTTATCTCTTGGCTAGGTTATTTTGCTTGGGCTTTTGGGCTATTTTTTCTCTCTTGTGCCTACCCACATGTTTGGGCCTAAGAAATGGGCCTGAGTCTCGAGGCTCCCAAGCAACCCGAGACTTTCCATTTCTTGGTCCATCAATGGGCCTCATGTT